TTTAGCCCTGGTTTAGAAATTTAGTCCTGGTTTAGTCTTTGTTTAGCAGTTTAGTTTTGGTTTAGAAGTTGAGTCCTGGTTTAGTTCTGGTTTAGTCTTTGTTTAGTCCAGGTTTCGCCCAGGTTTAGAAGTTCACTCCTGGTTTAATCTTGCTCTAGCACTGGTTTAGTCTTGGCTTAGAAGTTTCGCCCTGGTTTCGAAGTTTAGCTCTGATTTAGTCCTGGTTTAGAAGTTTAGTCCTGGTTAAGCCCTGATTTAGTTCTGGTTTAAAGGTTTAGCCCAGGGTTCGTCCTGGTTTCGCCCAGGTTTTGCCAAGGTTTCGATGTTTAGCCCTGATTTAGTCCTGGTTTAGTCTTGGTTTAGTTCAGGTGTAGAAGTTTAGTCCTGGTTTAAAGGTTTCGCCCTGGTCTCGCCCTGGTCTCGCCCCGGTCTCGCCCTCGTCTCGCCCTCGTCTCGCCCTGGTCTAGTTCAGGTAGAAGTTTAGTCCTGGTTTAAAAGTTTAGCCCTGGTCTCGCCCTGGTTTAGAAGTTTACTCCTGGTTTAATCCTGCTTTAGCACTGGTTTAGTCTTGACTTGCCCTGATTTAGCCCAAAGTTCTGTTGAAATCCTAGTGAGAAAAAAACACTTGCAGTTATTTGTACATCGAGTTTTCCGTCTTCTACACGGGGCTGATAGTAATGAAATGAATCTTTTAGTTTACTGAACTGAACTGAAAACTAAACAGCAAATCCTCACAATATTTTTTCAATCATTCATTCAAATTCTAAATACATTTGAATTGCACATAAAAAAAATAAAAAAAACTCCAAAATGACTGAACAGCTTGACTTGGAGCTGGAACAATAAACAATTAATTAAGTGAATGTACCAAGCAGTTCTTGTTGACATCAGTACAATCTGTTCCTCAGCTGCCAATGGAGCTTTGGTTATGTATTCAGAGACGGATTTACGACGACACAAGTGGAGCACAAGTGACCCACGGCATAAAACTCGTCAAAGTAAACAAGAGTTGTGCAATAAAAAACACGTGATATAAAGGTTACCTAATGTTATTTTGTTTTTCATTATTGTTTCCAAGTGGATTTCCTTCACTTCCTTTAGACTGACTCAGACCTGGTACGGATCAAGCCAAGTTTTTGTTAGATAAACATTTGGTTAAGTCCAGGTTTAGAGGATTAAACTGTTGATACAGTCCTCAGAGCGTTCATTGTACAACGGTAAATAAGAAGTAAAAGGGTTTAAGTCCTCTTTTAGATCAGGTTTAGCCCAGATTTTTGGAAAGGTCTGACATGTTTTATTTGAGCGTATATACGAATATTCCAGGACTGCTTGATCAAGATTATTTTGGTTAACATTGAAACCATGATTCAAATGATTATTTTTTAGTTACACAACGCATTTATTCAGCATTTCTCTCTCTCAAAAAAACCCTTAACATTTTTTTATTGATAATTTATGCAAAACTTTCAAATTGTAAATAAATATAGGCTACAAATTTGTACCTTAGAGCATTTTTGCGACGTATAAAATTAATAAAATATACTTTGAACATGAAATAAGGCATAGAAAAACATAAATGTATCCCAAAAAAAACCTCTATACACAGCTGTTCTACAATTTCTATGTAAAAAAAAAATACAAAAAATCATCTCAAAATAAACTGTAAATAAGCTTTATCATTACAAATCCATTATATGAGTTTTGAAGATCGTTTGACACATGAAATCGTAATCGCGAACAAAATTCGATTAATTGCACAGCCTCTTACAATAATCAATATCCAAATAGCTGCTATGGTAGATGTTTTTTTTTAGTAACAGTTAGATTTTAAATACAGAGCAAGGCCCATATCTGTATTTAAGTCATAGTTCATAGTTAACCGAAATATTGTGATATCATATGGTCAAAGTTCTCACAATAATATCGTGGACCATCACAATATATCGAAATACAAGTCTCTTTACCTAATTTAAGAGTTATGGTGCAACAATAGCTACAAAAAGACAGAGGGAACTACATAAACCATGATCCTTTGCTCCATTTCAATGTAGACTGCAAGAAAAAATAACAGTTCTAAGCACTTTTAAGTCTTAGTTCTTTGGATTAAGTCTTGTCAAGGTATTTTAAGAGGAAAGAGTAGTGTATTAACAGGTTTTTTTTAGCCTCAACAAAATATCGCAATAAATATCGTACCGTGAGATGTATTTCATGAAAATATCGTACCGAGAGATCTGGATATTGTTACATCCCTAATCGTGAGCCTCCCCTCCATACTGTGAGCTTTTCCACGATATCGCAATAAATATCGTACCGTGAGTTTCATACCATGACGATATCGTATCATGAGCCTTGGATATCGTTACACCCCTATTTGGGATTAACGATATCCAAATCTCTTATCACGATATGCATCTCACGGTACGATATTTATTGCGATATTTTAGAGAGGCTGATATAATTGTAGACAGGACACTTTTTTGCTTTTAAAACACCTTGACAAGATTTTGTTGTGAATTATTTCCGTTATAATCCCAAGAATTCAAGCAAAAACATATTTCATCATGTTGTCTGCGCTGAAATGAATCATGGGATATGTAGTTCGTGACGTTTATTATCTATTGATATTATAAAACCATGCATTTAAGCAAAGATATATTGTGACAGCCCACGATATTATAGTGAGACTTCTGGCGATATATCACGATATTTCGGTTATTGTTACATCTCTATTAACCGTATTATTACTTCTGTTTGCATGTTCTCTCATTATCTGTTCAAAAAGACTAATTTGTTTCACTAAGGACAATATGAGAATGTCACAGGGATTGGGGACAGTTGGGGGGAAAAAAAATATTGTCACAAATATCGGATAAATGTTGATTATTGGAGCCGTCTCGACTGTTTACCAAAACCCTCAACACAAATACTGGACCAGATACAGTCCAGCCAAACCCAATTTAGACCAGGTTTAGTCCAGATTTAATCTACTTCACCCTTTACCATTGGTAGAAAAAAAAGGGAAGGCCCTTTTTTGACAATGTTTAGTGTAAAAAGTTCAAGTACATTGCTGTATTGTTCATTGTAGTCTATAATTTGCTCAATGTTTGACAAAGCTGTACTAATGCAGTTCATTTCTATTGTTACATTGGTTCTGGGCGTGTTTATGTGAAATAAGATCTTCATCTGAGAGATTTAGTTCGGTCCAAAAGCCTCGAGCCAAACACCAGACACACAATATTAGGAACATGTGGTCTCTGCTGCTGGTTAGGTCTGATTGGCAAAATACATTAACGCACAAACTGGAAAAGTACGGTACAACTTGGGGCAGCAGTTGTAACAACGAACGCCGTTAAAAGTAGAATTTAGACAAGCACTATAAGCTAAACAAAACATAACGACAATATAATGGCTGCTTTTATGCCAGTAGAAATAATGTCAAAGCTAAATATATTCAGGCTTAGTCCAAAGTTCACCTTGTACGCAACGATTTTAAGACACCACGAATTCTTGCAAACAGAAATAAATGCGAGTTTAATAGGCTCTTTAAGTGAATACGATGGGGATAACTACAGAAATGTCCTCGTCCATCACTGTGAATGCGCTGAACCCCATTTTAATGCATTATTAGAGAGTTACCGACTTTATGTTTGGTTCCTTATTTAGACAAACGGTTCTCTTTTATACTATTATATTCTGGGACTGTTCCTGACTTGCGCTCCTGATTCATAATAAGGTCATAGTCCTTTATTCGATTAATCTGTCTTAGGTGACCAAATTTTTACTCGTCTAATATTTATTTTATTAGGATGTATAACAAGAAAAGCAGGAAGGAAAATGCATGTGAGTTTGCTGCAGCTTTTGGAATGACCGGACAGTTTAATCTTACAAAAATGAGATTTACCAGAACTGTAAACATTAAACAAAGAGGTTTTGTCAGTGACACATCTTCCCCGTTTAGTTAACTAATCAAAACAAATCTTTAGTCAACCAAGAATGCGTTTAGTCGACTACAGCCCTGTTAAGCATTAGGGCTGGATATCATTAAGAAGTTGCCGATACGATACATACATCGATACAGTGAGCTTTCGATTCGATACGATTCAGTAAAAAATAAAGGCTAAATCATGTCTGTGATACTAAAAGTCCATTTCTTGTCCAAAGTTCATATGAAATACAGCCACTTTAGTCATTAAAACAGTGAAAATGTCAAATGTGTCACATAAACAAGTCTCCTTCCTCTGAACAAACAACAAAACTGTAGTGTTGTAACAAAATAATTTACTAAAGTACACCAAAAAAATACTCTTGGTGATATATCGATACAGCAGCCCACGATATCGATACTGTATCATCACATTAAACAATATGATATATCAATATTTCAATATTTTTGCACACCCCTAGCTGCAAATAATGATTACTTTATTTATAAAAGTTCTGTTCATATGTGTTTTAGAGTTTCTATAGTATACAGGTAATGATTATGATGCCAAAAAAAGGATTAAGTTAATTTTTCATAGTTGACTAGTGGGGGTGTGCAAAAATGGTGAAATATCGTATTGTTTAATGTGATGATACGCTATCGATATATCGCCAAGAGTATTTTTTTGGTCTATTTTAATTCATCTTTTTTTTTTTTTTGCTTGTTTAGTGGAAGGAAACTCGTTCATGCGAAACATTTGACATTTTCACCGTTTTTGATGATTAAAATGGGCATGTTTCATATCAACGTTGCGAGTGGAAGACTTTTAGTATCACAACCACGACTTAGCCATTATTTTTATTCAACCATACTGAATCGATTTGAAATATATCGTATCGAATCGAAAGCTCACTGTTTCGTATCGTGGCCTGTGTATCGAGGTATGTATCGTATCGGCAACTTCTTAACGATACCCAGCCCTACTGACTACTCACAATTAGTCGATTAATCATTGCAGCCCTGTTAAACATCATGCAAAAATCACCTGTTAAGTGTAAAATGCTTCGGTGGTACTGACCTACGTGTCGCAGTGGGACAGCAGCGATGTGATTTCGGGGCTCATGTACCCCACGGCCTTGGCTGCCTCCAGGATGGCCCTCCGGTACATGCCCTTCTTCTTTCGGTTGAAGCGGGACCTGAAGAGCTCTCTGAACGGCGACAGTTTAGCGACGGACAGCTGCGAGGTGGTGGGCGAGCCGAACCACGCCACCTTCGCCTGGGGCCACTGCGCTTCACAAGTGGCCGTTTCCTGTTTGCGCGTCCCACTTATGCTAAGCACCCGCGCGGGCCACCAGGGGAAACCGTGAATCTTCCCCCAGACTATGTCTCCCACGGAAACGGCGTGCCCCTCCTCGGTAACGCACTTGGTCATGCTGCGGGTGTGCAAGCGGACCGTGATCGGCGGGACAGTCTTGCACCCGTCCCGAGTCGGAACGGAGGAAGAGGTAACGGAGAGGTCCTCCCCCGGGGCGAGATCGCAAAGTTCTGGGGAGGTACCTTCTGAGCTAAAAGACTTGGCTTCATCTAGACTATCACTACTGCACACGGACAAGCTAGACGAATCCGCTTTACGCTTACGGAAATTTATCAAAAGAGTCAAATCGTTATGTCCTCTATCTCCCTCCTCTCCGGAACTACCAGACCACAGCTCCAACGAGTTCTTGCCCTCTCCGGAGTCCTCAGAATGGGGCAAACACGGCCCACTAGACGCCTGCGGTCTCCTGGTTCCATCTACTATCTCCGCTTCGTATTCCACCACGCTCTCCTCGCTTTCCCTTTGCGGGGGTCTCAAGTGGATTTTGGGAGAAGTCAAATCCTGCCCCACGGTTGTATAGGGCCTGGTGAGTTTCAATTTAGGAATGGACACAGTTAAGCCAGATCTAGTCGCGTCTAGAATATGCCGTTGCTCCTTGGTTGTAAGCACCTTCCCGTTTTCTCCTCCCAGTCCATTTGGAACGAGTTGTTTGGGACAGAAAGGCTTGACGGACCCGTGCACTCTCGACGGGATTTTCATGACCTCACCTTTACCTTGCGGAGTGCTGTAAGATATTTTAATAACAGGACTATGTGGAATAACGTCACTATTTGGGAACTTATCGCTTTCTGAAGGGTCGGTCCGTTTGTCCCTTCTTATCCTCTTGCCTTCGAGTGTTGTGCCGTTTTCTCGTCTTCTACTGTCTTTAGTCGTCACTACCTCCTCCTTCCTCGCCAGCTTCGACGCCGGTTCTTTCTCCTCTGCGTCTTCGTCGCTTTGTAGTGCGTTCTCCTTCCTGGACGATTTGTTGCTGACCCCGTCTTTACTGTCCTCGTCGCTGTTGTTTAAAGTATTCTTACACTTTTCGCACAGCACCTGTCGGGGTCGCAAACGTATCGTACTGATGGTCATACGTCCCGGTTCTCTGCCCCGCCGCTTCTTTCGTTTGATCGGCCGAGGCGGAGGCTGTGGGACCCATTGGCTGTAGCTGTGCCGCACCCAGAGAGGCTGAGGAAAAGGTGCTCCTTCAAAATAAGGAGGGTACGGAGGTTGTCCGGCTGGTACAGGAGTGGGCACAGGAACAGGGCAGGGTACGGGGGCACACGTTGGGTCGTTTTCAGGGATGGAGTTTTCGTCCTTTGGTCTTGGATTTGAAACTTGGCTGGGAGATTTGGGAACAGGCTGCTCTGAAGATCCCAGAACCTCTGTTACGTCACACTCCGGTTTGGTGAGCGAGTAGTCCCTGTTTTTCGCAGTGATGTCTGGGAGACAGAAGAGACCAGTCCTGGAAAAGAAAGAGAAGCATTATTATATTACCACTTATTAGGGATGTAACAATAACCGAAATATCATGATGTCATATCATCAAAAGTCTCGTGGGCCATCACAAAATATCGAATTACAAGTTTCTTAGCTTAAATTCGTTGTTATGGTGCAGCAACAGAGAGAACTACATAGACCAAGATCCTTTGCTTGGTTTCAGTCCAATCTAAGTGCTCAAATAACTTATGAAGCACTTTTAAATCTTAATTATTTGGATTATAACGAGAGAAAAACAGCATATTCACAAAATATAGCAATATATATTGTTCCGTGAGCTGCATATCGTGAAAATATCAAGAGATATCGTTACAACCGTACCACTTATGCATACATAATTGTGAGCTTTTACCCCAAATTACGTGATTTTAAACTGCGATAAAGCTATCCACAACCTTTCTCCAAACCCGTAAGTGTGCCTTGTGTTCAAATCCAGCTAAATGTCTTTTATTCAGGTAGTCACTTGAAACAAAAATCAGCCTGTGTTGTAGATTTAAAGCTACAGTCTTTTTTTTTTTTGTGTGTGTTGATGGCAGATATGAAACCGGTTCCCGCTTCTCCCTCGTTTCACCTGGCCTTTGTTCAGGTTCACCTGTACTCTCTAGTCATCTTCTGTCAGGCCAAAATCAGCACATTATTTGACAGCAGTAGGGATGTAACAATAACTGAACTATTGTGATATCGTATTGTCAAAATTCTCACAATAATATCGTGGACCATCACAATATATCGAATTACAAGTCTCTTTGCTTAAATTAAGAGTTATGGTGCAGCAATAGTTAAAAAAGACAGAGGGAACTACATAGACCATGATCCTTTGCTCCATTTCAGCGCAGACTACAAGAAGAAATAACAGTTCTAAGCACTTTTAAGTCTTAGTTCTTTGGATTAAATCTTATCAAGGCATTTTAAGAGGAAAAAGTATCATTAGACTCCACAGAATATCACAATAAATATCGTATCGTGAGATGTATATCGTGAAAATATCTAGAGATTAAGATATTGTTAAATCCCTAATCGTGAGAATCCCCGCCATATCATGAGCTTTCCCACGATATCATAATAAATATCGTACCGTGAGGTTCATACCGTGATATCGTATCGTGAGACTTCGATATCATTACACCCCTAGACAGCAGTAATGCAGAGAGCATTTAGTGGTGTTATGTGAGAATAGAATAGGACAGAGTTGACCAGTCTAATTACAGATTGTAGCTTTAAGGCAGATGGCTGATAAAGTAGAAATAAAGTCTAAATCAGTCTGTCACTAGATAATAATCTCTATTACACCATTTTATTAATCAATTAGAACAATAACCATCTTTGTAATTGACATTTTAAATGCTTGTAAAATGGAGCAGTATCCAGGCTATTTGGTTATAAACTACAAGTGCCCGTGTAACTTGCAGTGAGGACAGTTCTGAGGCCTAATCTAGCAGTGCATTTTTAAGGACACAACCCTGGCCCTGTACTTTAAACGGCCCTTCTAATATAAAGCCTGCACACAGTAAAAGCAGAGACGTAAAGACGAGTTCTGTTTGGCAGCGACTGGACACCCTGACGCCCCGCTCACCGTCACCTGGATGCTGAAATTCTTCCTGGTGGTGGGGGTTGGGGACCGAGCGAGCAGCTAGCATTTATCTGCCCCACTGCTGCCTCAGGCCTGTGCTTTGGTTTGAGTGATTTTGTGAGTCCTTTTTTGCTGTGTGACATTTGCAAACAGGGCCAAAGAAAACCCAGGAGTGCAGCAGTAACATGGCCGAGCGGCTTCAGTCGGAGCAGACAAAGAGCCTACAGGATGCCCCCCTCCCTCCCCAACATCTGACTGAACAAAAACAATCCCATGAATCACTCGGGATTCGGAGGTTAGGAAGGAGCCAGGAGATTTTGGTTTGTTTTTGCATCCGTGCGTACTTGGGGCTTATGTGTGGGGAGATTATTAATTAGAGCACATTTGGGGAGATTGTGTTCCTCCCCACTGTCCCCAGGAGAAGTAGTTGGCAAGCACCTCTCCATAATGGTCCCCGGTGAGGCCTGTTCCTCTCACCTTTTTGGCTGTGCTCGGAGCGGGCCAGAATCCGCCCGCACAGTGACTGACACGGCTGAGCTTGTGAAGAACAGGCCGTGCTCGTGAAACAGAAGGACAGCGCGTCGCCATGATTCAACGCTCTGCTACCAGCCCACACTGTACACTGTAACTAGATGCGCCTGAATGATAAGCGAATGAAGAGATAACAAAACCTGAGTTGAACTGCTAGACAATGATAGGAAATGATTTGGAATGAGCACAAAAGGAGAAGGCAGATTTTTGACAGCAGCAAGGCCCAAATTACAGGCCTATTTAGAGTTATTTGAGGCCTGCGTTTTCCCATTTGGGTGGGTTATTTTCAGGACAGCCTCAGCTCTCACATGAAAAACCATCTCGGCACAGTGAGGGGCAAAGCTGGTCAGGATTCTGATTCTGCGAGGCTATTAATAGGCTAAACCCAGAAGCTTTTCAAGGTGCACAGTGTTACATCAACACAAGGCTTTAATGTGACACTGGACACAGCACTTGATGGGTGTAAAATACAGTTTCATCCTAATTGCAATAGTCCTGCAGCGAAATGACACACAGTTTAAAAGATTACAAAAGTGGAAATATGAGTTTACACACGTGAGAGGTTTTATCAAAGGTTTTCTCCACAGTACCCACTCTCTATTGTCTCAGAGGTGACTGACTGACTGACTGACTACCAGGAGCAAGTCAATTCATCATCATTGTTTCTCATGATGGCAGCAAATTATTCACACTTTAAATCCCACAATCAAAACACAATGAGCTAAATAGACGCAAATAAATCTAAATTATATTATATGATAGTCGAGGCCTGTTTTCTTGACATGGGCTGCAGTTTGATGAGGCTAACAATAAGCTACAGATGAACCCAGTGACATTTGTTATTGTTCTTAAGAAGTCAAGTCTGCACAAAAACACACGTAAAGCGTCTTCGTAAACCGGACACGAACGAGGTGAAAGTTGCGTGATTCGCAGCTTATTTTGTTTATAATCCCACCGGTTAAGCATTAGCCTGTTAGCTCAGAGATAGCTTTTCTACAATAACCTGTATGTGTTTTGTACGGAGGCCCGGTTAGCATCAAAGCTAACTTAGCCGTTAGCACAGTTTAGCATTTCAATCAAAATCAAAATAAAAGGGGAAAATGGCAAAATTAAACCTACTTCTTGTTGCAGTCAAGTAATATCCCGGTGTAGTTTCTTTCTCGGAAGGTCAGTGTCACCACCAATGTGTCGTTTATTATTTGATCGATAGTGACAGGTATCCGAGAGCCGGCCCGCAGCTCTTCGGCCACAGCCTCCATGTTTCCCGGGGAAAGGTGTCCGACAGCGCGGTGCTCTATCCCGGCCAAGGGAGCCACGGTCGCGTCGGCCCAAGATCCGTCTCCCCCTTCGCAATCGGAGCAGGAGGCTACACCAGGGCATAAAATGACGCCATCGCCCCCGCCAAGTCAATTACAACCGCGCTGCCACCGCTGACATCACGCTCCTGTGGCTGTGTGGAGCCAGAAGACACAGCTCCCCAAGACGAGGCCTTCCCTTTCTCTGCTCCTCTCTGCTGCTGCTGCTGCTGCTGCTGCTGCTACAACACCACCACCACCACCACGTTTGGCCCAGGTTATTTCAATGCAGCCATTTCTATGTAGCAAAGCACAGAGAGGTGGGTTTAATCTATGTAAATGCACCAAGAGAAGAAGAATCACATCATCATAGTCCTTGTTTTACCCCCCCCACTATATCCTCTTTAGTATTTTTATTTTAACCAGAATTTCATAATAAAAAACTGGGACAAGTGAAATAAAGGAAACTGTGATGTAGATCTCATTCATGATTAACTTGTGAGTCAGTATAGTCACGTTTTCTTTGTGTTTTAGTCATTTTTAAGCAGATTTTTTTGCATTTTACTCGCTTTATCCAAATCTCACGATACGATATTTTCACGATATGCATCTCACGGTACGATATCTATTTTCATTCCGCACTCTTCTCTCCAATTTATGTCTCTCTTTTTTAATTTTAATCTTCATGATTATTTATGTTTTTAATTGTTTTTATTATGATTTTAATGTATTTCTTATTCTGTAAAGCACTTTGAATTATATTGTGTACGAATTGTGCTATACAAATAAACTTGCCTTGCCTTGCCTATTGCGATATTTGTGGAGGATAACAAAACTGTGAATATGCGACTTACTTCTTTAAAAAACATTAAGCTAGAAAAGTGTTATATCCAAATCTCACGATACAATATTTTCACGATATGTAACTCGCGGTACGATATTTATTGCGATATTTGTGAAGACTAACAAAACTATGAATATGCTACTTACTTCTCAAAAAATTATTAAGATATAAAAGTGTTAAATCTTAATTCTTCAATGTCTAAATCTCACGACATATTTACACGATACGCATCTCACGGTACGATATTTATTGCGATATTTGTCAAGACTAACAAAACTATGAATCTGCTACTTCTCTAAAAAACATCAAGATTAAAAGTGTTAAATCTTAATACTTAGACATCCAAATCTCACGATACGATATTTTCACAATACTCATCTTACGGTATGATATTTATTGCGATATTTGTGGAGGCTTCTTTCTTCTTACTTCTTAAAAAAAAACCAAAACACACTAATATTGTAATATGAAGAATTAAGTTTAAAAAGTGTTATAAATGTTAAGTCTCAATTGACAACACCAAAGGATCATGGTCTATGTAATTCCCTTTGTTTTTTAAACTACTGCTGCACCAGAACAATGAATTTAAGTAAAGAGACTTGTAGTTCGATATATATTGTGACAGTCCGTGATATTATTGTGAGACTTTTGACGACACGATATCACGATATTTCGGTTATTGTTACATCCCAACCGCGCTGCCACCGCTGACATCACGCTCCTGTGGCTGTGTGGAGCCAGAAGACACAGCTCCCCAAGACGAGGCCTTCCCTTTCTCTGCTCCTCTCTGCTGCTACAACAACAACAACAACACCACCACCACGTTTGGCCCAGGTTATTTCAATGCAGCCATTTCTATGTAGCAAAGCACAGAGAGGTGGGTTTAATCTATGTGAATGCACCAAGAGAAGAAGAAGAATCACATCATCATAGTCCTTGTTTTACCCCCCCACTATATCCTCTTTAGTATTTTTATTTTAACCAGAATATCAAAATAAAAAACTGGGACAAGTGAAATAAAGGAAATTGTGATGTAGATCTCATTCATGATTAACTTGTGAGTCAGTATAGTCACGTTTTCTTTGTGTTTTAGTCATTTTTAAGCAGATTTTTTTGCATTTTACTCGCTTTACTAAGGATATAACGATATCCAAATCTCACAATATGAATCTCACGGTACGATATCTGTTGCGATATTTGTGGAGGATAACAAAACTGTGAATATGCTACTTACTTCTCTAAAAATTAAGATTTTAAAGTGTTAAATCTTTATTCTTCAATGTCTAAATCTCACGATATATTTACACGATATGATTCTCACGGTACGATATCTGTTGAGATATTTGTGAAGACTAACAAAACTATGAATATGCTACTTACTTCTTTAAAAAACATTAAGCTTTGAAAGTGTTAAATATTAATTCTTCGATATCCAAATCTCACAACACGATATTTTCACGATATGAATCTCACGGTACGATATTTATTGCAATATTTGTGAAGACTAACAAACTATTCTTTAAAAAACACTGATCATATTACAACAGTACCATTATTAATAGTAAGAATTAAGATTTAAAAGTGTTAAATCTTAATACTTAGACATCCAAATCTCACGATTCGATATTTTCACTATACGCATCTCACGGTATGATATTTATTGCAATATACGATATATTGCAATATAAAATACGATATCACGATATTACAGTTAGTGTTACATCTGTTGGCAGGGATTAAATTGGTTAAAAATAGGGACACCTGGGACAATTCTCATATAAAACTGGGACAAATCACTGGTTTTCGATTAATCTGCTGGGACAGGAGACACAAGGCTCAAAACTAGGACTGTCTTGGGTAAACAGAGACGTTTGGTCACAAAATTAATGACATAATATGGTATACTTTATTTCTTATGCCTAACTTCCATCCAGACATCTGTTTGATCATAGAACATAAAGACTTAGTTTAATCCTGGTTTATTCTGAGGAAGATTTAGTCAAAATTGAGAGTTGGCCCTATAATGAACATTAAAATCAATCAACGTCAAATAATTACTCATGTAAATGTTGACTTGCTCCCATTTCAGTTCACTAAAAATAAAAGCTTGGTTTTGTTTGGACTTGATGTTAAACGCTAATAGCATAATTACTTTTTTTTTTTTTTTTTTTTTTTTTTGAAACTCCGCTTGGAATAGAAATTTAATTTGTTTAAAGTCAGTTATTATGTGTTTTAGTCATTCCTCACAGAGCATAGGGGACATTTTACCCAGTCAAGACAAAACAATTGTTCTGATTTGGTAACACATAATGAACATCACTGTTTATTATTTACAAATGAGTGACAAATTAAGAGTAGCCCTTTCGCGTATTCACATCTCAAACCAGTAATTATGTGTGATTCTTTGTCTCTGCAACCAATCGAACCATAATTATACAACATGTTTTGAAAAATAAATTAGCTTTTGTTTTCTATAGACAAAATGAACCACAATTTAAGACAATCCATGTTGCTTGAATTTTAATAGCATAAACAAGTACGAATCTCCTTTTCTCTCATTTATCTTTTCGCTGAGTAAAATCCAAACACACTTTTGCGTTTCATGTCGAGAAGTTCAGCCTGTAACCTCCTCATCTGTCAATCAAATAAAAGGTGATCAAAAACACATTCAAGTCAATACAACGTGTAATTTTATTGTTTAGATTAATATGAGGAAAAATCCAGACCTCTTTGACGTCACACTCTGCTTCCCAGATCAGATCCGTGTTAAACTCTGTTGTGTTCCTGCGTCGTTCCTCTATTCTCTGGACAATGGCGTTAATTTTCTGCCGTAGCTGCTGGACGGCCCTGAGGGGTACACGCAGGGCAAAGGTCAAACCCAGGACTCAATATTAATGAATAAGAAATGGATAGACTCTTTATTACAGAAGCAGTAGATAATAAATGTCACAACATGCGGGGCCTGTTGGAGATCTGTCTTAATTATGAAACAGACATTCATGTACAAATGTTGATATAAAACAAAGTGAACACACGTGTGGAAACCAGTTTTATTTACATACAATAGATTCATATCATGATGTAAGCACATCCTCCCCGTCTTTTGTTAGGACATTCATTAAAAAATGGCTACTAATCTGCTCACACAAATGACAGTTTTAATGAAGATATCCAGTATAAATAAGCTCCAGCTATTTGGCATACATCATTTCCACCTTTTTGTCTTGGTCTTTTGGGATCAGCATTGGATTATTAATGCTTTGAACTGTATTGTTTAGTCAAAACAGCTCCATTCAGCAAGAACAAAGAATGTCGTGGGTGGATGCACTGACACAGTCTGACCACTAGCTGGCTCCAAATGGCCACTTGCAGTTTGTCTTTCTGCTTATGAAGATTGTGGGATATAAAATATAAGGCCAGGATGTGTATAAATGGGCTTTGTGACTACAAGAGAGCATTTGTTTTATGTAAAATAAATGATTAGTGTAGTCTTTGAGGAAAATATAGAATATATACTGCACTTAACACGCTTGGCGGGACTCTCAGAGTAGTAGTAGTTGTTATTCAGTCGTTCATAATGTTGGTGGTAAGATTTTAAAGCCACAGTTGTGTGTTTACCTTCCGTTTTAGTTTTAGTTTTTCCTCGAGTGATGCAGAAAAGAGCGAGCCACTGTCTGTGTGAATGTTCATGTATGTTAGCTGCCCTGTGGCTGGGTGACGAAAGCAAGCCTACCAATCTGCGCCAATGGCATCCTGACCTATAATCAGTCTCACACTTACACACTCACACACACCACAGTCATACTAAAGTGGTTGAGGTGTCTTGCCCAAGGACACATGACAATAAACACTGTCTGAAACTGGACTTGAACCGTAGACCTTTGGAATAGTGAGCAAACACTTTAACGCCATAAACTATATCAACTGGTGTTTTTTTTCCAATGCTCAGATCTAAAATATCATCCATTAACTCATATTATAATGCATACTGATACTGAAATGTCGATTTAAATGTTCAAATACTGAATATTACATCCGCTCCAGTCGCTCTGTACCTGCTCTCCTCATACTGGATGGTGCTGTGGGCCTGGCGTTGAGCTAAATCACTGCTGTTCTCTGCTTCGGGCCTTGTATCTGGTTCTGCTTCCTGTTGATTTATTCACACAGACAGTATTAGTTTACATCAGAACAACATTAATACTCGAGTCAAGCTGGATATGTGAGATCTGTGTGTCAAATTACCCAAATAGACCTCTACATACAAGTCCCCAGTGAGTGCTTTCACAGCTGCTTGAGAATATTTCCCTTTTTGCTGAATGCTAGTAAACGGTACTGACGTAGAAATTACTAAGAAGTGTTTAGTGGAGGTTTGAGTGCGAGTCCTGTCAGCTGTAATAACACAATGTGGCTGCTGCGGAGGTTTTTATGATTTCCTTGGCTTCGTTTTTCTATTAAACAGCACATTTCCCAATAGAAACACTCACTTTTCATGTGCCCCTCTTTCTTCAGCTATTACAGTTCGTCCAGTGGATTTCGCAATTGTTCCAGACATTGGTGTGGATATTATATTGTTGCACTCACTGATCTGACAGCAACAGCCGCGTGATATGAACCATATAAAGTTGTGCAGCAAAAAGGCGTCATAGTTTCCGACAAGGAAGCGTTTTCTTTTTTTCCAAATCAGAAAATATATACAACTTTAAGCCATAAAAGCCAAAGCCATAAAAAAAGCATTGTGTAACGTCTGGTGGAGGGTCCGCTGCCTGCTTTTCCACGGAGATGTTATTGTTTTGACTAGAATTTCCCACAATATGCCTTTAAATGTGTTATTTATCTCTATACTGAAGAAAACAGATGAAGTTACAAGTCAGATCTGTTGAGGAGATCCCGATTACACTTAGAAAGCATGTTTTTAAGGTATTTTGGAGCTGTCGAAAAACTGTAATTTAATAAACTACTACCAGTGTTGGGGAGTAACAGATTACATGTACTGGAGTTACGTAATCAGAGTACACATTATGAGTAACTGTATTCAGTTACAGTTACTGTTTCAGTGAGTGGTAATTGGATTACAGTTACTTTGTTGAAATAAATGGATTACACGCCGGTATTTTCCTGTTTTCACATTTTTGGCTATATCCTTTTTTTTTCAGTAATTCCACTCATGGCCAGAAACTAAACCAGATCTAAACTAGAGCTAAACCAGGACTAAACCAGGTCTAAACCAGGACTAAACCAGGACTAAACCAAGGACTAAAACCAGGACTAAAACCAGGTCTTCTAAAACCAGGTCTAAAACAAGTCTAAAACAGGACTAAAACAGGTCTAAAACAGGTCTAAACAGGTCTAAACCAGGACTAAAACAGGACTAAATCATGCTGCGTGGACGTGTCTCCTCTTCTTCTATCAAGAATATTTTTAAATTGGTTCAGTAAAGTCTGGGCTTTTTATTTTCTTTTAGCAGACAAAATATCTTATGTTACGATCTCCTCGTCTTTGTTTCTCTACAGCAAATCAAGTAATCCAAAGTATTCAGATTACGTTACTCACTTTAAGTAATTTAATGGATTACGTTACAAACTACATTCTGGGTTATGTAATCTGTAATCTGTAGGGGAATACATTTTAAAAGTAACCTTCCCAACACTGACTACTACATAGATAAGTCTGGTATCATACTGTGAAAAAAGACCTGGCAAAGTAGTAACATCTCCACAGAGACAAGCGGGTAGTGGACCCCTTTCGTAGAAGTTACATAGAGCAGTGTTTCCCAAACTTTTCTTCTGGGGACCCATGTTTTAAAAATCACAAACCTCCACGACCCAAGTCAATAGACATTATTCGTAAATCACAAGATAAAAGTGGATTTGACTTGTGGAACTGATTATTGAACATTAATGAGGATATTCTATTGTTGACTGAGAGAACAATTAGTATTACTCAAGTTTTAAACAATGAAAAACAGTCATTGAACCAGCAATAAAAGGATCCGTAAGTCGCCTATTTGGACATTAAAAGTAGCCAATTTCTTTTTCTTTTCATCATCATTCAATTGAATCAGCAATATTGGAACAAAATAGTCAATCAAATAATCACAAAAAGAATAGAAATGATACAAAACATGTCTTGACATTTCAATCTACATACAGATCGTGACAAGGTGACTCAAAAAAAATCTCTCACGACCCACCTGAGGGTCACAATGACATAGTGCACCTCTAATTACTGAGTTATCATGGGAATACAACTTCTTACAACTCACAATTTATTCATTCATTCATTCTCTATTATAATTACTCATATTTACTTAGAAAATCAGCTGACCAGTATTTTAACTCGATCGATTAGTAATGTTTTGATACTGCCCTATTTAATAAAACAGACTAAATGAAGAAACACACGTGTGCCCCATTTGTCTCAGTACGAAGTTCCCTTGTAAAATGTCTTATCTTTTCAGAACAAACCCACTGACAGATCCCTCACATGCTTCTAATAGCCCCACCCTTAATCAATGTCACTCTCGTCGCGAAGCATTAATCAGCCCGGGCTCTGCGGCAGACGTGGTGTTCTGCCGCCCCCTGGTGGTAAGACGTGACTTCACACACCTCACCGTCACTGTACCTCGTTTTGTCTTTGGCGTCCTGCCTTCTTCTGCCTGTGTCCCGCCTGCTGTGGGGTCCTGGCTTGGGTCCACCACTTGCGCAGAGCTTCTTGGCTCCTGCGAAACAAAAACAAAACACTGTAATAGATCCTCGTACAAAGACAATGGTGCCGAGGGGTTTGTTAGTGGAAAGTTGCAGTCTCTAAATATTGATCTATTTTTATAAACTGGACATAAAGTTGAGTAAACAAAAAAAGTACAACTATAATGAAAATATTGTGTGGTCCAAGCTTTACTTCCATTAAAATAGATGTATGAGAGTTGATATCTATATATAAAGGTTGTTAACCAAGGTAGACAAAGCGTACAATTACATTTAGGATAGTTTTTTTTTTTTTTTTATGGGCACTGCCTGCACACGTGGGAAGGTATATAACTCTCTTGCAGCTTATTTCAAGGTGAGAGACGTTTGAAAAGCAATATGTTGTCTCTTTTTAATAACTGTGATGTCAAAACTGAAGCATGTCAAGCTCGTAAAGACCAACGCAAATTCCTCTAGTTGCAGGTCTACATTAGGGCTGGGTATCATTAAGAAGTTGCCGATACGATACATACCTCGATACACAGGCCACGATACGATACATATCTTGATACAGTGCACTTTCGATTTGATATATTTCAAATCGATTTGATACGGTTCAATAAAAAATAAAGTCTAAATCATGTCTGTGATACTAAAGTCTTTGTTAAACCACTTCTGGTGCAAAGTTCATATGAAACACAAACATTTTAATCATCAAAACAGTGAAAATATCAAATGTGTCGCATAAAAGAGTTTCCTTTCACTCCACAAGCCACAAAACTGTAGCTCTGTAACAAAATAATTTAGTAAAACACACGTAAAAATACTCTTGTTTATATATCGATACAGTAGCCCACGATATCGATACTGTATCATCACATTAAAGGATACGATATATCGATATTCCGATATTTTTGCACACCCCTAGTCTGCATATTGTGAATGCGTTGTCTCACTTCCTCCTCTGCTCCAGCATGGCCTCCTTCTCCTTGAGCTCCCTGAGTGCAGCCTGCCTCCTCTCCTCAGACCTGTTCCACACATGAGCGTCCAGCAGCAGTGGAGTCACTCCGGCCCGGGTCGCCTTCTTCCTGGAAAATAAATTGAAACTAAATGGTTTCTTTTTATTGGCCTTCTGAGCGCGGAGCCCGGGCAGAGAGTGCCTGGAGGTCTTATCACTGCCCTCAGCACAGTGTCATTAAAAGTGTTTCTCTAGCCTTCCTCCGTACTCCTCCAGAGCCGTATAATATAACCGCTTTGAATCTCTGCCACTAAAAATAATAGATTCGCTGCCTCTATCCGACTGTGCAGCCCTACACAGCCAGAGTGCAGTCTATTTAGAAAAAAGGGAGAGTACTTGAGACTAGATTTAAACCCCAGCTTCAAAAGCCATTTGTCTCCACAATAAATTGAATACACTTTGCTTGGCCTTGGACTGAGCCTGAAGAAGAAACATTATTATAGAACTTTAGTATAGTCCAAGGACCAAGGACATAATGGTATATATTCTACTTTATTATTATTATTTACCATCCATCATAAAGTAACAAACAAAGAGTTCAAATCTTGTGTTATCACTGGCATTGGTCAGATGATGTGCCCATAATGTTTATACTATAGTTGTTCTGTTTATATATTTTCTATTTCTATTTCTGCTCTTTAAATTGTTTGTACACCACTCTGGACAGCTGTGGTTGTTTTAAATGTGCTATATAAATCCTAAAATTTTAAAAACTGCTTTTTGGATACATATTTGTGAAATCTGAGCCACTCCCTCTCATCACAACAACAGTTTCTTCCACTCTGTTGTTGTTGTTGTTACCTTTTCAGAGCAGGCAGGGTGCGTTTGGGTGGTTTGGGTGGTTTGGCGGCTCTCTCCAGTTCAGCCTTCTCCATTAAACTCATCTGGAGTTTGAGCTCTCTGAACCTCTCCAGCTCTTCCTCCGCCGTGGCCCCCTCCTCTTCCTCCTCCAGTTCGGACCCCATCAGCTCCAGCGGCAGCCTCTCCACGACAGGAGTCTCTACACCGCAGACAGAACGAGAACATTAGTGATTTGCTAATGAATCCGATTATTGCCTTTATTCAGCATCCTTTAGTTTTGGGTGAGCGTTGATGAACACCATACTACTGCCATAAAACCACGTACTTATGAGCTATGTTTTTATTTATTAGGTGCACGTAACACATTATTTCACTTGCTTTCACTTCATATTTGGATATATAATCAGGAAATCTCCTCAAAATGTTGCATATAACAGGAAAATGAAACCGTGAATAAACAGAAAACTGGAATCAATGAAGATAAATCCTGTTTGCAACACATTCTCATATTAAAATTAACTATTGGTGAACACCTACAATAAATGAATGGATTGACTTGATATATAATATTTTTTTTAAATGGAAAGGATTACATTTAAGCTGAAGCTACAAAGTGATATAATTGAAACCTATTGGTCAAAATGGTTGCGGTATGTAACGACAAAAAGACCTGACTTAGTTATGTCTGTATATCTACCCCCAATGTCTTGTTTTGTTTTGTTCTTACTGTTTGAATGTTGTCTGTTTTTAATGTGTCCTTATACAAGATAAAAATCCAATAAAAAGTGAATGACAAAAAAAAAAAAGAACTATTGGTGAAGTGCTGACGATGCATTTACAGCAGGGGTGTCAAACTCATTTTGGTCCGGGGGCCGTATCCAACCTACTTTGATCCCAAAGGGGCCGGATCAGAAAACGCATGGCATTTAAACCCCAAAAATAACAATAAGTTCAAATATTTGTGCAGAGAAACACAAATCTATTACAGAAATCTTTTTTAATTGATGAACTCTTTCTTTTACAAAATGTTATAATATTATAAACAACCTAAAACTTAAAAAATAAATAAATAAAATGAAATTTCAACACAATGTTTTAACATTAACTTGTATGCAAATAGGAATAAGTCAATTTTTCTTGGAAAATCCTGCACTCGGCTCCACTTTTCTCATTTTTGACATTTTTCTGATGAGGGTGTCACGGTCAACAGTCAAAACGATCGTCCTTTAAGAGCGTTTGGAAAGAGACAAGTCTTCATTTGTGCTTCTCTGGTGGGAGGGGCCACGTACAGAGGCTCTGGAGACGCTGCTCTGCTCAGCGGTGCAGAAACTTACCAATATATTAATAGAAAATATAATTCAAATATTTTAGTAGAAAATCAGCCAAGGGCCAGATTAAAGGTGTTGGAGGGCCAGATCTGGCCCCCGGGCCATATGTTTGACACCTGTGATTTACAGTGTCGATTACTGACTGTTGTACTTTGTTTATCTAAAGCGCAAACATACTTTTAATTACATTATATTTATAAGATCAGGGATTTAAGCTCAGTATAAATGTATTTAAACTCTACTTTCTTGCCATATTCGCACAGTGTTATCTTAGTAGTGCACAGAGATGTTGTCCAGAGAAGTTTGTCACTATTCATAAAAACATCCAAATGTGGCTGTAAGATGAATCGCAATGGATTTGAAATTGTAATTTGAAGGCCACTGGTCACAGCAAATCTCAAAGACTGCGGTTACATTTAAGTATTATTTCCTCTCCAAATAACACAATATTTGGTCTTAGTGTGGATAAAACTTTCTAATCCAGCTGTTTACACCACTACAAAGGGGCTTTGAAATGCATAGAAATGTGTATGAGCTCATATTTCAGCCATCAGTCAACAAAATAACGCTCACTGCTACTCCTGATAATGCTCCTTGTTAAAAAAAAAAAAGTTATTCTCCAAAATGATTTCAGCCCTAACAGAGTAGAGCTTTTTTAATAAGCTGAGACGAAATGTATAACTTGAAAGGATTCGCAAATTGGCCGTCGCATAGACCGAATAAAGAAGTGGACTAAGGGAGTGTAACGTCGCCCATAGTGTTCGGCTCCAGTCAAACGAAGCTCACAGAGGCAGGCGGTTATAGGGGAGATTTTGGAGGTGAGTTCCATAAACATTTCAGCTCATTTTCATTTCAGTTTTTCTAGTTTCTAGTTTCAGTGTAAAGTAGGGGTGTAACAATATCCAAGTTTCACGATATGATATCTTCACGGTATGAACCTCACGGTACGATATTTATTGCGATATCGTAGGAAAGCTCACGAAGAGGCTCATGATTAGAGATATAACAATATACAAATCTCTCTGTACAATGTTTTCAAGATATACAGCTCAAGGTATATTTATTGCGATATTTTGTGGAGCTTAACAAAACTATTAATGTGCGACGTTTTCCTCTTAAAATGCCTTGACAAGACTTAATCCAAAGAACTAAGACTTAAAAGTGCTTAGAACTGTTATTTCTTCTTGTCGTCTGCACTGAAATGGAGCAAAGGATCATGGTCTATGTAGTTCCTTCTGTCTTTTTTTTAGCTATTGCTGCATCATAACTCTTAATTTAAGCAAAGAGACTTGTAATTCGATATATTGTGATGGTCCACGATATTGTTGTGAGAACTTTGACGATACGACATCACGATATTTCGGTTACTGTTACATCCCTAATGTAAAGTCAGTTGGATTCAGACTCAATGAAGCCAGAAGCCCCCGTCCTCACTTCCTATTTCATTCAGAATTTCATCAGAATATACTGTTTTGACTATTAGTTTTTATTTAAAGGTGCACTGTGTAACTTTTCTGCTGGAGGGTATAACATCTGCTTGTCTCCATGACATTAAACATTGTTTTTGCATTTAGGTGCCTTCATTGCTCTAAATTAAACTAAAATGATGTATTCTTATCAGCAGCAGGCCTGTAACTTGCCTCTCAATGGAGATAGATGTGTTTAATGCCATATTGTGGAACTTTCTTGGTCTAACATTACAAAGTGAACCTCATAAGAATATTTAAAGCCCCACTGTGAAAGATTATTAAAGCCATACTTTGGAAGACTGCGCACAGGAAGCAACAAACATCTCCCTTACACTGTGTTTCTTGGAACACCAGTGATTTTATTAACAAAACATTTCGGCTCATTTTGTTCCATATTAGGAATAGGAATTTATTTATGGAAAAAATAGCAAAATAAAAACAGCAGGGTCATGTAGAGCGGGTTAATATGAACATTTTAAGACCAAAATGACGAGACTCACTGCAGCAGTTACAGAGACACGGGCGACAATCTTTCAATGTAAAGTTGGAAACAGTTACAGTGGAGCCGGAAGCGCCCCCATACTCACTTCCTGTTTGGAATGTGGCAACTTGTGGGTTAGCTGTATCCATTAACAGTAAATGGTAAATGGTCACCAACTTCAAGGCACTCAAAGCGCTTTACAACAAGGAACCACTCACCCATTCACACACCAGTGTACGCAGACACTGTGGGCAAGGTGGGTTAAGTGTCTTGCCCAAGGACACAACGACAGCATTCATCTGGAATCACACCAGCCAACCTGCAGTCAGTGGATCTGACCGCTCAACCTGTGATGCTTCATGTTGAGAGCTGGATTCAAACCACCAACCTTTAGATCAGTGGGCGAATGCTCTACCAACTGAGCTACTGCCGCCTTCCCAGTGTTGGGAAGGTGACTTTTAAAATGTATTCCCCTACAGATTACAGATTACATACCCCAAAATGTAGTTTGTAACGTAATCCATTAAATTACTTAAAGTGAGTAACGTAATCTGAATACTTTGGATTACTTGATTTTCTGTAGAGAAGCAAATACGAGATCTTCACATGAGATGTTTTGTCTGATAAAAAACAATAAAAAAGCCCAGACTTTACTTAATCGTATTAAAAATATTATTGATAGAAGAGGAAGAGACACGGTCCGCGCAGCATGGTTTAGTCCTGTTAAATCCTGGTTTAGACCTGGTTTAGACCTGGTTTTAATCCTGGTTTAGTCCTGGTTTAGACCTGGTTTAGACCTAGTTTAGACTTGGTTTAGACCTGGTTTAGACCTGGTTTAGACCTGGTTTAGTCCTGGTTTTAGTCCTGGTTTAGACCTGGTTTAGACCTGGTTTTAGACCTGTTTTAGTCCTGGCTTTAGTCCTGGTTTAGACCTGGTTTAGACCTGGTTTTAGTCCTGCTTTAGTCCTGGTTTAGACCTGGTTTAATCCTGGTTCAGACCTAGTTTAGACCTGGTTTTAGACCTGGTTTAGACTTGGTTTAGACCTGGTTTAGACCTGGTTTTAGTCCTGGTTTGAGTCCTGGTTTTAGTCCTGGTTTAGACCTGGTTTAAACCTGGTTTAGACCTGGTTTAGACCTAGTTTAGACCTGGTTTTAGACCAGGTTTAGAACTGGTTTTAGAACCTGGTTTTAGACCTGGACCTGGTTTAGACCTGGTTTAGACCTAGTTTAGACCTGGTTTTAGACCAGGTTTAGACCTGGTTTGAGATCTGGTTTGAGACCTTGTGTCCAGCAATGAGTGGAATTATCGAGAAAAAAAAAAAAAAAAAGGGAACACCCCAAAATGTGAAAACAGGAAAATACCGCCGTGTAATCCATTTATTTCAACCAAGTAACTGTAATCCAAGTACCACGCACTGAAACAGTAACTGTAACTGAATACAGTTACTCATAATTTGTACTGTACTTGATTACATAACTCCAGTACATGTAATCTGTTACTCCCCAACACTGTCCATTTATATACGGTTTATGATTTGAAACAGTGGAAAAACCCCGGAAAGAACCTCCACTAACACACGGCAGATGGATTTTGTATGAGGTTCGGTGATTATCAAGGTCCAGATTTACACTAATGAGTCTCCTCTAGGTGCCAATTACAGTCATTATCACTAAGACCTTTTATTTGTCGAATCCATCCACTGACAGCATTGATGGCAGTAATAGCTCGGTGTCCTGTCTGTCTGTCACTGGATTTGTGCTGTGTTAATGCATTTCGGAGGATTACAGAAAGTGAAAAATTGAAGTGCGATTCTGGCTTTACCTTGTGGCTCGTGGGGGCTAATCTTTCCCATGTTATCTCAGCTGAAAAGGGTTGATGACACTGCAATATGTAAATGAAGGTATATGCAAATCCCATTAAAGCTACATTTACAATATGAGCCGATTCAATAAAAGGCGCTTCCCTGCGGAGCTCTGAGGCCTGTCTTTGTTAATAACCCAGTGTGAAGGCAGATAAATCATTTGATTGAGGGCTCGGGCTTGGCTCGCTGTGCATCGGCCGCGCTGCAAAAATAGAATATCCAGCTCTGGTTAAAAGTACTTTCATTCAGAATTTCATCAGAATATACTGTTTTGACTATTAGTTTTTATTTAAAGCTGCACTGTGTAACATTTCTGCTGGAGGGTATAACATCTGCTTGTCTCCGTGGCGTTAAACATATGCCGTATTTTGCCTTTAGGTTCATTTACTGCTCTAAATTCAACTTAAATGATGTATTCTTACTGCCAGCTGGTGTGTAACTTGGTCTGGTGGTGCCTCCTGCTTGTTTTCATGGAGATAGATGTGTTTAATGCCATATTGTGAAACTTTCCAAGCAACACAATAACACTGAGACAAGCCGGTCTAACATTACAAAGTTAACCTTTACATCCAACATAAACAGTGTTGGGGTGATTACTTTTAAAATGTATTCCTCTACAGATTACAGATTACATACCCCAAAATGTAGTTTGTAACGTAATCCATTAAATTACTTAAAGTGAGTAACATAATCTGAATACTTTGGATTACTTGATATTGTTATGCTTTTTAAAACGACATGAACGTAGCGACCACATCCTGAAAATTCTTGTTAAGTTCACTATTGGCTGTTGAGCCCAAGTCTCCATGAACAGACTTTTGTTTGCTGTAGAGAAACAAACACTAGGAAATGTTCACATAAGATGTTTTGTCTGCTAAAAGAAAATAAATAGCCCAGTCTTTACTTAACTGTATTAAAATGTAATAATAATAATAATAAATAATAATTATTGATAGAGAAATGCTTTCTATACGAGATCACTGCTGCCTTAAATTATTTAGTCCTGGTTTAAGTCCTGGTTTAGCCCAAAATGTGAAAACAGGAACATACCTCCATGTGATCCATTTATTTCAACAAAGTAACTGTAATCCAATGACCACTCACTGAAACAGTAACTGTAACTGAATACAGTTACTCATAAATTGTACTCTGATTACGCTGGTATATGTAATCTGTTACTCCCCAACACTGAACATAAAATATTTAAAACCCCACTGGGTAAAATTTTTTTCACGGTGGGCACGACACCTGCAAGATGTAAAGTTAAAACATACTTTGGAAGCAACTTTAAAAGAAAGAAATCTCCCTTACAATATGTTTCTTGGAACATCAGGGATTTTATTACCAAAACATTTTGTTTCGTTTTCGTCTTTGCCAGATGAAGGCCAAATGTCTCAAGTTTTATTTTGAATTTTGTTGAAATTTTGTTAATAAATACCACTTGTGTTGCAAGTAAGACAGTGTGTGGGAAATGTCTTCCTTTTAAAACCATACTTTGGAACATTCTCAATGGAGATAGTAGTTTGCTCCAAGGAAAACGTTACCTGAAGACAAGGAAATGAGGTGACGCGGGACTGTGGAAGGTCACGTCAGCTCACAGTACAGGAGGTGTTTTTTTCAAAGCATTTAGAGCTGCAGTGGTTTTGTTTGTGTTGAAAGAAGTCAAAAAGGTTAAAAGAGTGAAATGATCTAAATAATCACATAAACCTACATGTTCAAAAAACCCAGATTCAGAACCAAGGTTATGGAGCGAAGCATCAGTGTGAAAGGAGTTAACTTATGACAAAGATATAAAAGAATCTAGTACAATGATGACATTTAAGAGACACATAAATCGAATGCAATGTGTATGTATGAAAAAGAAAACTAAGTTGTTGTGCATAAAAGTGAAGATTTCTGTTTGCAATTGATTAATAATTGTGCCTGAACTGAAATGTACTGATTTGAAATGTTTAGTAACCATTGGTGTGTTCATGTCTTTTTATACTTCATGAATGAAATAAACAAATTAATAAATAAATCATAAATCATAAGATAAAGATGAATTCCTGCATCTTTTACCAATCTAGATGTTCTTTTTTGCAGTGATCCTTCCTGAGCAGGGCTGTCTCCTCAGAGCGTTTATCAGGAGAGCTTGGTGGCTCTGGGCGGCTGCTGTTGGGTTAGCGCTCCTGTTATCGATCATTTCTCATCAGGCTAAAAATATTACGAACCTGCAGCCGGGTGGGGAGCGGCAAACCGGGTGGCATGTGCTGTTGCCAAGGGAACAGAAGTCACACCAGCGGACGGGCAGCAGGACAAGAGGAAGCTATTTTTGGGTGTCCTATCTCTGACAATGGGAGCAGATGGCTGGATAGCTGTATTTTTAAGAGGCAAACGGAGCACCTCTCCTCTGTGCATAGGGAAAGCTGATTCACCTGACTGACTCCTGGGGGCGCTGACGGGGCGCTGGGCTAAGGCGGCCCTCAGGTACTGCAGGATGCCGAGGACCCCCTGCTGTAGGACGCTGTGTGGGGGGTAACTGAGCGGGCAATCACGCAGGTTCAGACCCCTCAGGCTCAGAACGTTACCTACACAAAAATCCATAAAACACTTCACACATAATACACTTCATTAAAGGGCCCATCTCAAGCAAAATCAACTTTTCAGAGCTTTCTACATCTAAGAGTGATGTGTGGGCCTTGTATATGTCGCTGAAGTGGTTTTTAGATTAATTTGGTGTTTTGTTTAACAAATTGCAACGTATTTCTGACACCCTCCCAAGTGACAACGAACTAAAGCTGCTACAATGATGACGCGGCAGATACACCTATGACACGTCTGACGTAGCAGACAGCTCTTTACACCCACCACCCTCCCTGCTCCACCGCCTCTGCTCCACCTCCACCCCACATCGGCTGTTCTCACATGAACACCTAAACAAAAGCGACAGCATAAACTAATTGTTCTACACTGCAGTGAACACGATATAATACGTTTTTCTACTCGTGTTTATTAATACTTTACCAATCAGTAATGTTCAGTTGATGTCGATGTGGTGCTTGCGCTTTGTTCACCTCAAAGTCCTCGTCCGTTTCCGGGTCCAACACATGCGGCTGAACGCGCTGTATCTCCATGATGAATAAAAGTTTATTTTTACCGCTATCAGGGTGCACGCCTGTCTCCCCCTCCCTCCCTGAGATGGGCGGAGGAAGGGCGGCTCACTCAGAGCCTACGTCACGTTTGGAGGGCGGAGCCTGTGCTTTCTCAGGACGGGCGGGGGGATGAGCAATAGTCGGCCTTTCATAGTTCCTGGTCTGTGACGCCTCCAAGAAATCAGTAAGATTTCCTAACTATTGTGTAATGGATGTTCCAAAACCCAAATTGTGCTTGTTTATGTGCAGAAGATACAACGTGAAAAGAGATGGGCCCTTTAACACTATCACACTTAATTAGCGACCATGTACTAATTGTTATCTAAGGCATATATACACAGAAACAAAACACTGGTGGCATAAAAACAGTATAATAAATAATAATTGGTATGTCAGTTAACAAAGTATTAATAATAATTAATAATTACTACCGCACCTATTACTACTAGAGCCTGATTAAATCAATTAGATCGATTTTTTTTTTTGTACTTATTCTAAATGCACCCAATACTTATCTTAAAACAAACATTACCAATGTCTGAGACTGCAAAATCTATATTACAAAAAGCTGATTTATAGTGTAATGCTTTCATCTGGCAAAGATTCAAAGCCTTAAAGGAAATTACAGCGCCCTGAAATAAATCTAAAAGCTTCAGCCCTCGTTTTATGGTGTTTTGTTTTTCTTTTTTAAGTTTTGTTTAGATGAAGACACTGTTTGATGAGTAAAAAAGGAGATTTATATTTTCATTTAGTAAAATACAGTGTGTCAGAATCGTTTATTACAATATTGCTCATATCGAATTCAGATCAAACCGTTTTCATGCATGTTGATGATGTGAAAATGAACTTACCGAGCTCTGGGGGCAGCTCTGTGATGGGATTCCCTTCGAGCAGCAAGGTTCTTAAACATCTGAAAAGAAGACACATGGTGCATTTGTAAATTGGTGTGAAAGATGCTATTAGCTCCTTCTGTGAGCTCTTTAATGAGGCAAAGCAGACATTTTTATGTATTCAGAGGCTTTATATTAATAACTCTTCATATTTTGATTCGTCAGTGAACCTACGCTTTTACAGAAAATACTGGATAAGGAATTCTCTGCATGTTTTGTCTCGTCCAACCTGTAATTTTCTATTGTTAAATCATTGCAGAAAATGCTCTATGCTTCATTTGTATTTTAAAGTACTTTCATTACATCTGGTTGCTCTGAAAATGTGACAAAAACAGACTTTTCTGGTTGAACTAAGTTGGGCGACATCTCCAGTTCTGTGTGGGCGTACGCAACCAAACTACTTTCTTTCCTCGCGACAAAAATAAAAGATTGTTCACGCTGAATGCCTTCCTGAGAGATACTGGAAATGAAAAACAGAAGTATGTCTCAGTGACCGCGTTTCGGAAGTGTTTCAGATCACAAAAAAAAGCCCTCTTCCACCTACGATTAATTTATTTTTAAACTTCAGCCAGTGAGTATAGGACCCTGCCGACTGCCGCCTCCTTATCAGAGCCACGTCCAGATCTGTTGGTAGAAATCAAGACGCTTCTAAACAGTAGGAAAGATTATTTAGTGAATTGTTAATTGTAATTATGCCAGTCACAGTTTTGATTCTCCCTAGACTTTAATCTGACTTTTGTTTTAACATGATCTGACCATAAAGTGCTGATTTAACTGGTAATAAAAAGGAAAAGCTGCTTTGTGCTGTTAAACAAGTCCCTCTCAAATAAGATAATCCTTGAATACTCCGGAAAGTTTGATTTTGTAAAGCTGATCACGCACCAGAGACGTGACGATATACGAACAAAAATGAAGGATTCCACTGTTGTTGCATCATTTTATTAGAAAATGTCTCTCACTTGAACTAAATGAAAAGCGCTGAGGCAGAACTATGAGCAGCGCAACAGACTAAATGTTTTTTTTTTTTTTTTCCTTTTCGCTCTCATCAAGATATATATTGTTTTGCTCCAATTAGCTTTAAACAGTGAAATGGAAACTGAACGATAGGGGGAGATAAAGGACACTTCAGCTCGGCCTACAACAATTAATCTCCTCAAAGCACAGATTCAGAAATGTTTTATTTAAGGAGAGAAAGGTTCACTTCCTAGTATGAATGTGATTGTGGTGTGTGCGTGAGCGTTGGTGGTTGTCTTAGGAGCAGATGGCGCAGATTGGCTGCCTCGCTTCTGTCAGTCTGTCACAGGGCGACTGAGTGTGGAGTATGAATGAATAATGAGTCCAGTGTAGCGTTTTGAGGGGCTTTGTGGAGGCTTTAAAGTGCAGTCAGTGAGAAATGTGTGTAGTCTGTAGCGTCCCTGGTTTTAAACTATAATTGTTTACTTGATTTTCTTGTTTTAGACCAGGGGTGTCAAACTCAAATTCACAGAGGCCAAAATTAAAAACTGGTCATGTGCCAAACTAAATATTTACTGAAAAATTTCCACAACATCTGTATGTTTTCTCTTCTTTCGAGGTATGTAATGTTAAACCTTTTCTTATTAAAATAAATGTTCAATAATAGTTTTGCTTAAACATTGAATCCAGAACAAACATAATATAAAAAAAATAACAAAATTGTCTCTATAATCTATCAGTAGCCGGCGGGCAGCTCTAATACATATTTGTTATAATCTCATGGGCCAAATATAACTATATCACGGACCAAATTTGGACCCCGGGCCTTAGTTTGACACCCCTGTTTTAGATGATGGAACAAACTAAATATTTATATTTGTTATTAAGCTGTAGCAGCAGCTCTTTCACATTTAAGATTTATTAGGAAGTACTTGCCATTAGGGCTGGGTATCATTCAGAAGTTACGATACGATGCATACCTTGATACAGTGAGCTTTTTTTTTTTTTTTTTGGCATATATATTTATTGCCTTTTAGTTTAAACAAAATAATCAACAAAATAATAATATAAGCAATACAAACAAAACAAACAAAATATATTTAAAAAAAAAAAACACTGGCTAATACCCTATTCATAATAGCTGAAATCTCAAATCATACATCAAAAATGGTTCCCAAGTCTTAAAAAAACTTAAAGATATTGTCCTTATGATGAAGCCGACACGTCAGGTAACCGAGAGAAACAAAACCAAGAACCATCTTCTGCCATTAAGTTTTAGTGGGGGTCTGGTCAGACACCCAATTCACTAGTAGATTCTTTCTGGCTTAAAAATCCAACATCCTGTACAATTTTCTGTTATACTTGTCTTTCACAGCGGGGTCAGTTACGCCAAAATACAGTGAGCTTTTGATTCGATATGATATATTTCAAATTCATTAGATACGGTTCAATAAAAAATAAAGGCTGTGATAGTAAAAGTCTTTGTTAAGCCACTTCTTGTGCAAAGTTAATATGAAACACAAACATTTTAATCATCAAAACGTGAAAATGTCAAACGTGTCGCAAACAAGTTTCCTTCCTCTGAACAAGCAACAAAACTGAAGCGCTGTAACAAAATAATTTAGTAATAGTTTAGCAATACAGTATATCGATACAGCAGCCCATGAATAACTCCTAATATTGTGAATTGTCAGTGAATATTGCATAAGAACATGTTTCGTCTCTTCCAAACTTTCTCCTTTCTCTTGTTAAATCAGTGCAGAAAATGCTCTACACTTTCAATCTATTTCAAACTATCTTCATTACATCTGATATCAGTAACGTATCATCACATTAAATTATACGATATATCGATATTTTAATATTTTTGCACACCCTTACTTGCCATTGACACTCATATAATGTTGCCCCTCACTCTAAAAACTCTGAATGTTGAAATGTCGCCTGCGTAGCTTTTATAGTGAGTAACTGCAAAAATGCCAGCACTAATATCTGATACTGTGAAGTCAACGCTGATTCGCTTATATTAGTGTTCGTTCAGAGTAATTGAGTTGTATCTCCAACATTATCTTTTGGTGGCTGATGGTTTATGCATGAGTTTGAAAGTGCCGGATGGTCAGCCATGGCACCATTTCCATATCTGGGTCACAGAGACATGTTTGGCAGGCACCGTTGGGTATTACAGCAGTTTTACCAAGCAACAGTGAAAACAGAGAGTTTCCCGCAGTAAAAATCTCTAACCTTTCCTAAGCCTCGTATAAACCGACGCAGAACGCAATGGGCTGTGACCTCTGTAAGGAAATAATTTGGTCTTAAGTGGTGCTACAATGAATAATAATTTGTTCAATTTAGTTTAGTTTTGTAGCACTTCAATGAGCCAAAAAAGCAATTAGTCGAGGCATTTGAGGTATGAATTCAAGTTTGGCATAAAAATGTCTCTTACTTTGCCACAAGCCAATGCAGCTATTTATAATTTACATTTTTACTTTGCAGATAAACACTGCAGCCTTCACTGGTGCTGGTGAGGACACTGGTACATTTTAAGATTAAGCACTAAATGTATGAAAGAGCCAAACAAAGTCGCAGTTCTAAAACTTCAGACTCAATACGGTTTTCTATACAACAATGATAATAAAAATACTCTTGTTTAGATGATAGAATGGACGGGAGCTGAAAGTCTTGATCGCAAAAACAGATGTCAGAGTCCAGATGACAACAGTGTAAACATTCTCTACATTGTGCAACTCTTGGACGAATGAAGGATTACATCATCACAATAGAATGTAATTTTCAACATTAAACTGTAGTATTTTATTTTATATCACCACGTGGCCTTATATCTGTGTAATCCCTCAGTTCTATGTGCTCTTATACTTGTTCTGATACAGCTCTAGATCATTCTAAGGGCCTGTTTACACGAGAACGCTTGTGGGTAAAAACAACAAAATATTTTATGTGAAGTTCTTTCCTCTAGACGGTGTTTCTGGGGCATGAAAACGCAAAAATCTGAAACCACCCTGCAGAGTGGAAAAGTTGAACACGCTCTGCTGTAGCGTTTCCATCTGCACTGCCCAAGACGCAAAACTCTGGTCAGATCTGCTCACGTCACGAACATGTTTACGTCACCTACATACAATAGTCAGAAACAAACATGTCGGATCGTTTCCATGCGTCTGACTCTAATAAACTTACAGGAAGCATCCCAACAAATGTACAGAATCTGCAGAGATACAATCAGTGAACAGAGAAGCTCTGACAGGCGAGTCAAACGGATATGGACGAGAACTGGAGAACAAGTAGGTGGTGGGACGACTTTGTGGAAGGAGTAACTGATGAAAATGCGTGGAGAGAAAACTTCCATATGTCAAAAAATGCCCTTGTTGCTTTAAGTACAAGCAACCCAATCGAATTCCACACACTTTTGAGTCACCGTCTGTATTTTGCTTCCTGTCCTCAGCGTCCAGATTTTTTTTTTTTTTAAGTGATGCAAATGTCCGGGTTTTCATTACCGTTCATTGGGGACATTAAACTGAGCGGCTCTCGTAGCGTCTGTGACTCTGAAGGAGCGAGCAGACGCAAACAGTCGGTCAGTCTGCAACATGCCGAAACACAAATGCGCATTTAACAATGACTTGTACAAGAAATTCTCAGTTTTCCATCCCGAGACAAGTGGAGGCCATGTGCACAGGTTGGGAAGTGAGAGTACAGTGCTCCCTCGTTTATCACGGGGGTTACATTCTAAAAATAACCCACTATAGGTGAAATCCGCGAAGTAGTCAACTTTATATTTACAATTATTATATCTGTTTTAAGGCTGTAAACCCCCTCAGCACACACTTTATACACTTTTTTCAGAGAGGACAGTTACAACCCTTTGAAAGAAAGAAAGAAAAGAAAAGAAAAAAAGAAAGGCAAAAGGTGAACCGCGATATAGTTAGGATATAGAGGGACGACTGTAGCTCAATGTCGAGGCCCCATCACCCAGTAAGGTGTCCGGGTTTTCACAAATGGAAATATGGTCACCCTAGTCTAAGCGCGGAATAAAAAGTGAAGGCGCGACGCCACTTTTCCATCTTCTGTTCAGACCGTCATCATATAAACGTAGCCTCAAACTACTCAGAATGCGACTGTTTTTAGTATCAATACTTCAAATGAGTACCTAGTAGATAGTGGATCGTCGGAAGAATTAACGATCGATTATCGATTAATCATTAATGTTTTTATATTAAAATGATCATCATTATTATTACTATCTGCACTACTAATCTGCATATATAAATTCAACTTTACGACATATAAACTGTAACGACTCTAGAGCCACATCAGTCCGTTTGACATTATAATGTGTTTAATTCAGTTTTGCACAACTCTCACAGAAACAAAACTTAAAACCGCATCGCTAATTTGCATAAACTAAGTGAAGATAAAACTACAGCTCTTGTGTCGCTGATGCGGTCAAATTTCTGTCGGATTAAAAGACATGATTCAGGTGAATACAGGTTAGTGTGACCAGATTTGCGTTTGTCAAAACCAGGACACCGTACGGGGGGAGGGAGGTGGGACTCGTCATCGACATTGCGCGACTCTCACCTGGTAAAACTTTTTCCCACTGGACACCGAAACATATGTGCTGCTTTGTACACTGTGCACATGGACTCACACTTGTCCCGAACGCAACGGAAAGCGTGGAATTTCTTGTACAAATCATCGTTAAATACACATTTGTGCTTCGGTACGTTGCAGACTGACCGACTGTTTGTGTCTCGCTCCTTCTGATGCAGAGAGACACATGTACAGACCCCTGTTTGGTCACACTACACACAGCAACCTACATTCGGTTTGTCGATTAAAATTAACGTAATCGATGAAATTCTTAATGATTAATCATCGATTAATCGATTAATCATGCCCATCCCTAGTACCTAGTTTCAATACAAGTTTCACTATTAATTCTTATGACACTTTTGACAACTCTAATAACAAATCAGCTGAATTTAAAATGACTTACCTGTGATAACCGATTTCCGTAGGGAGGGATTGGAGCTGGTTGTGTCTGAGGTCGAGCCACAGCAGGTTGGGTAAACTGGTGAACAAGGACTCGGGAAGACTTCGCAGCTCATTGCCTTCGAGGTACAAATGCTGGATAAAAGAACATAGATATACTGTAAATTATTATGGAAGATGAAGTCAAGGCATTGCATCCAGAAGGTTTATACGGACTGCAACAGTAATTAATATGATGGTTTAACATTGATACCGTACAGTGACATCATGCTGGGGGTGTTCTACATGTATATCTATGGTAAAATGTTCAGAAGTTACCATGGTGACACTATTATCATATCAGCGAACGTTTTAAGAGCTCAAGAAAAGTACAAAACGGATGGATTTAAACGCATTTTCGGGAGCCTGTGATCACTACGAGCGTTCACGGTCGCGTTTAGGTGTTTAATTTTCAACTTAAAAAGGTGAGAACGACTAAGTGAAAAACTGCCAGTGCTAGTGAGCTCGTGAGTGTAATTTTCCTGCGTGAGAGATGTGTAAAACCAAGCATTAGATTAAAGTCTAGTAGAGCTTCTGACACTAGTGCCTTCAGTTCGCATCAGTCAGGAATGTTAATGATATCAGCTGCAAAGTATCAATTGCTTCTGGTGGCGTATATGTAATTATCCATGGGTTTCGGGAAAAATGAACGCAGTATCCACAGCAATTAACAATCCGAATCCAAGCATTCGATCTTTTCTTAAAGTATTCAAAATGGAACCTGTAAAAATGAAACTAAAACAAATTTATTTGTGTATTTTTAATTTCTCGAATCAGCAAAACGACCCATCTTCGGCCCTCGTCGATGCAACTGCAGATGGAGGAGCTTTTGAATGAAATCTTATACTTTTACTTGTTTTTATTGTACACATTTCATTATATTTATTCATTTTCAGTCTCTTTATTATATACAACTAGCTGGTAATGCCCTACATAACCTACTGTATTGAGATTTGGGGCAATACATATAAGACTAATACAACTCCAGTCTTTACCTTGCAAAAAAAGGCAATAAGAGCATCACATTATCAACTTATAATGAATCAACCAATGCGTTATTTATAAACCTTCAAACTCTGAAATTTTATGATTTAGTCGACCTTTATACTCCGAAAATCATGTTCAAAGTAAACAACAATCTCCTGTCAAAATCTTTACAGAACATGTTCAAAATCCGAAAGAGTCGATATGAGCTCAGAGGTTTGGCCACGTTTATCAAAAAGAAAATTAGAACAAACATTATGAAATTTTGTAAATCTGTTAAAGGGGTGGAGCTCTGGAATAACTGTACAGAAAATCTAAAACTGTGCACCAATCTCTTTCACTTTATAAAGAAGTTTAAATGTTTAACTCTGGACAGATACATGAAATATGATGCTTAGTTTGTGCTGTAGGACTTTGTTGTTCTGTTTCTGATTTGTTTGTTTCCTCTTGCTGTATTTAAGAAGATGAACTGGTGTCAAGATGACGCTCTGAAAAAGGAATAGGTGAGTTTCATTGTTGGCAAAAGCTGGGAATTATTTTGGTCGGCGGCAATAAACACTAATTCAACATGACGGACGGAGTGAGAAAGCACGTAAAGGGTATTGATCCTGGTTATTTATCCACTCTAACGGCAGAGGACCCAAGACGATTTGACCAGAAATTGGTCTTAAGCATCGATGGACGACAAATCACCCTTTTCAACACCTCCAAAAGGTGGATCAAACCAAATTTCTGGTCAGAATCGCCAACTACCTGGACAAATATTCACTTGGGCGATATCCACAATGACTTGGTGGAAACTCCTGGGCCTTTCACAGCAGAAAAGATGAAAACCTCCAAGAGTCTCGATGTGTTGTTGAACTTGTTGGAGTCCACGGTTTGCTAGGATCTTCTACATTTGCTCTGTGGATGTTTGAAAGTCGTTTAATTCACCGTTAGCGGTTCTTTTCACTCAGAATACGAAAAAGACATTTCCCTTCTTCCATGCTTCTATTTGTACATCTGATAATGCAGCAGGAATTTACCATTATCGGGGATAAATGCATGAGGTTACGCACTGTGTTTGACCGCTATCATGTTTCTTGCCTCCGACCAAAATATTTCCCAGCATGCAACAGCTTTTAATAACAATGACGTCAGCTGAAACTCGCCTTAAGCTTCAGCCTGCACCTTTTCGGTCTGTGTATGTTAAATATGACTGTGAATGTCTGTGAATTAATGGCAAAATATACCTGTGACCGAAATTAATAAATAAATAAAATACATTTTAGGCATATTTTTAGGATTTCTAGTGTTTCCTCTGTAGGAGCCGTCTGCATCAGGAGCGGAGTTTGGCTGCGGCTGCCGGGTCTGTCACGTGGGCTCCTGGTGGAGGGTTGGTGCTTGGGCCTCAGGTGCCTGGGCTTCGTCTCTCCCCTGGGAGACGGATTCCCTGGTGGTGGTGGACGACTCTCTGCTCTCTGCTGATGTAGACGGCTCCTCTGATGGTGCTTTCTCAACTGGTTCGCTGTTATTCAGCCTCACATTTTACTATAGGTAGTTTTATGTATTTTAGCATGTTGGGTTGGTAGGAGGGTGGAAGGAAATGTGGGATTGTTTTTAATCACTGTAAAACGCTTTATAAATAAAGTTTGATTGACTGATTGATTGATCTTACTCATTTTCTGTTGTGGTCCTGTAAAGTAATGAAGAGGATGAGTGATTTCGCTGGAGGACAGGTCAGAATTCTGTGGTGGAATTTGCTCATTAACTGTGAAATTGCAGATTTATTGACGTGGTTCATTGTTAAAATCTCTGTACTTACTGTGCCGATCCTGAACATGAAACAAAAACGGGGACAAAGTTCAACGTCTTCTCTGTCAGTACAATTAAAGAAAAGTAATTCGGCTTCTTTCCTGAGGCTGTCAGACTTCTGAACAGTGCACACCGACTTCCTGCTTGGGCTGCCTTGCTATCTTGCTTCTACTTGTCTATTGGAACTGCTAAATGTTGTTATTTTGATGTATTTACTTTTTAATATTGCTTATTTATTATTGTTTTTATCTCTCTCTGGATCACTGGGCCTCGGGGAGCACGTTTCATTCTGTCATGCGTTTCTCTCGCATGCTTCAATGACAAATAAAGAACCATACTTACCTTCCCTCACTTAATCAAAAGCGAAAAGTAATCAAGGCGGTTGATTTAACCCTAAAGATTCGGTGAGTCTTACAAATAGAAATAAGCGGGTTTGACATTTGTGGATCTTTAGTTTGGCTACTGTACATTTTGTAAATCTCCCCTAGAGTTAAACAGACCCTTCGCCCTCCATCTGAAAATCTGACGTCATCAAATTTTAGATCATGACCGCAGCCTTTTCTCCCATCTTTCAGTGTTCGTGGTGTTTATTGCGGAGTGACATAACATTAATCTAGCGTGGCTCTTGTGACAGCTGTACACAGGCTCCAGGTCAGTGTGAAGGCCACAGCTGTAATGGAGTGCAGAAGTCACCTCAACCTGCACACACTCCGGCCCCGCAGGCACCAACGCTCTGGAGTCAGCCGGACATCACAAGAGCAACTGAAATACAATAGCCCTGTTATTTAGTGTTCTCGGATATCTCGGGTTTACGGGGAATCCTTAACGGAGGAAAGAACGTTAGTCATCGAGAAAAGAAGACCGTCAAAGTATCGAAAGCGTCAATACTGAAAAAAATCCCACAGTCATGACAGAACGTGACCTTCCTTGAACTTATATTCTGGTATTGATTGGTATCTCTTAAGTTTGAAATATTAGTATTATGACAACCCTACAGTAGCGTGAAACTTTTGACCAGACCCAAACTTCACTCACAAGACCAAAAGTGCATGGGTACGGAAGCCGAGAGGGGTCACAACAAACGCAAACGCCGCAACAAATACAAATGCGACAACACAACAAAAAGCCACAACAAACCAAAAAAAGCAACAACGGAAATGACCGCGGGACTCTATTTTAATGCAAATGCCGCAACAAATACAAACACCATAACACAAATGCAAATGCCTCAACACATAAAAAAGCCACAACGGAAGTGACCGCAGGACTCTATTTTCCGACGGACCGATCAAGCGGCAAGTGAAGAAGAAGAACTACAATGTGAAAAGTAAAGGAAGGGAGAAGTTGGAAAGTAAGTAAAAGTAATTTATTGTTTTATCATTATTCGTTTCACGTTGTAGTTCTTCTTCTTCACTTGCCGCTTGATCGGTTCGTCGGAAAAATAGAGTCCCGCGGTCATTTCCGCTGTGGCTTTTTAATGTGTTGCGGCTTTTGCTTTTGTGTTGTGGCTTTTGTATTTGTTGCGGCGTTTGCATTAAAATAGAGTCCCGCGGTCATTTTTGTTGCGGCTTTTTGTGGTTTGTTGTAGCTTTTTGTTTTGTTGTCGCATTTGTATTTGCTGCGGCGTTTGCGTTTGTTGTGACCCCTCTCGGCTTCCGTACATGGGAGCTCATGCAAAGATAACTATTTATACAGAAAGTAATGAACAAATTAAACTCCCAAATCTTCAGCTCGCCCAATCCATGCATTCCTCTTTCAGCTTTGCAATATAAATCCTTATAAAATAATAAACTAAAACATCACTGATAGTTTAATCGACTAAATTACTACAAACCGACAGCCTTACTCTTTGACTGAAAGAAGAACTGATTCTTGTGTTCAAATTTTGCATCGCCAAACTGTATGTTATTAGGTTCTTTTTTCAGATCAAGAATTTGTTTTCATACCTGACAGTTTCGACGGCTCACTAGGTTAGGGTGACCAAAAGTCTGTTTTTCCCTGGACATGTCCGATTTTTGCGTCCTGTCCTGGGCGTCTGTTTTTTGTTTTTGTTTTTTTTAAGTGATGGAAATGTCCGGGTTTTCATTACCTTTTATTGGGGCCATTAAATTGAGCGTCTCTCGTAGCTCTCTGTAACTCAGAAGGAGTGAGCAGACACAGCGAGCAGTAAGTCAGCCTGCAACATGCCGAAACGCAAATGCGCATTTAACGATGACTTGTACAAGAAATTCTCCGTTTTCAGTACCGGTTGAGACAAGTGGGAGGCCGTGTGCACAGGTTGTGAGGTGAGAGTAGCTCAACGTCGAGGTGCCACCCCCCCATCCCCGGTAAGGTGTCCGGGTTTTCAGAAACAGAAATACAATCACCCTACACTAGGTTTTCCTCAGAGTGGTCACGTGATGTTGCTGTGACATGCCTGCTCAGCTGATTTAAACATATTTTGGCACTTTCTTCCTACCGGTGGAGGCAAGACGACAGCGCCATCTGCAGTCCAACTTCCTCAGGACAGTATCCCAGGTGTGTGAGAGTAAAAAACAGTACAGAGCAAACATCATCGGGACTAGAGGACAACAAACATCATCGCTGGATTAAAGAGGCAATCGAAATACGGAAACGTGCCGGGACGAAGGGGCTTTTTTACTCTTACACACCTGGGATACTGTCTTGAGGAAGTCGGACTGCAGATGGCGCTGTTGTGCTGCCTCCATCAGTAGGAAGACAGCGGAAAAAAAACCTGTTTAAATCAGCTGACCGGACACGTCACATCAACATCACGTGACCACTCTGAGGAAGACCGCAGGGAGCAGCTAAAACTATCAGGTATGAAAGGAAACTCTTGGTCTGAAAAAAGAACTTAAGAACAGCAATAATGATTCAAAAACTATAAATACATTTTGAACTTTGTGCTTTACATATTATTGTCATTACAAGCAAAAACATTCTACATTAGGGACAGCAAGTCAATACACATCACTTAATAAATACTTTAGAATGAAACAAACCTACACATTTAACTTCATTCATTTTGCTGGACAGTGTTGGGAAGGTTACTTTTAAAATGTATTCCCCTGCAATGTAGTTTGTAACGTAATACATTAAATTACTTAAAGTGAGTAACGTAATCTGAATACTTTGGGTTACTTGATTTGCTGTAGAGAAGCAAAGACGAGGATACTTAACCGTATTAAAAATATTGATAGAAGAGGAGGAGACACGTCTGCGCAGCACGGTTTAGTCCTGTTAAATCCTGTTAAATCCTGTTTTAGATCTAGTTTAGACCTGGTTTAGTCCTGGTTTAGACCTGGTTTAGATCTAGTTTAGATCTAGTTTAGACCTGGTTTCAGTCCTGGTTTAGTCCTGTTAAATCCTGTTAAATCCTGTTTTGGTCCTGGTTTAAATCTAGTTTAGACCTGGTTTCAGTCCTGGTTTAGTCCTGGTTTAGATCTAGTATAGACCTGGTTTTAATCCTGGTTTAGATCTAGTTTAGACCTGGTTTAGTCCTGGTTTAGACCTGGTTTAGATCTAGTTTAGACCTGGTTTCAGTCCTGGTTTAGTCCTGTTAAATCCTGTTAAATCCTGTTTTGGTCCTGGTTTAAATCTAGTTTAGACCTGGTTTCAGTCCTGGTTTAGTCCTGGTTTAGATCTAGTATAGACCTGGTTTTAATCCTGGTTTAGATCTAGTTTAGACCTGGTTTAGACCTGGATTTAGTCCTGATTTTGTCCTGGTTTAGACCTGGTTTAGTTTCCAGCAATGAGTGGAATTACTGAAAAAAATAAAATAAAATATAAAAATAAAAATAATAGGAAAGCAGGAAAATACCGCCGTATAATCCATTTATTTCAACAATGTAACTGTAATCCAATTACCACTCAGTAAAAGTAACTGTAACTGAATACAGTTACTCATAATTTGTACTCTGATTACGTAACTCCGGTACATGTAATCTGTTACTCCCCAACACTGTTGCTGGAGAGCCAAGCAATAAGAACATTGCAAACTCTTCATGGAAATAGCTGTAAATTTGTTTGCTCTCTGCAGAGAAAAATACTCTCTCTCTCACGCACAATATTTATAGCTCAATAAAAGTTTTCACATTGGAGGCAGATCAGATGTCCTAATGTAGCCTAATGTTCCAATTAGTTTAGCTGAAGCAGACCGTGATGGTACGAGCCGGAGTGCGGGTGGCGGGCGGGTAATGAAGTGAAGAAGACTGAAGTTTGTACTGACCTTTAATGCCCTGTTCTTCAGCAGATTCTCGGGCACTTTCTCCAGCCCGCTCCTGCTCAGATACAGGGTCTCCGGTGAGCGGGAGGGGGACGGCTCCTTCGCCTCGTCGCTGTCAGAGCCGTGGGGGGTCTGTGGTCTGTCAGCGCTGTCTCCGACACAGAGGCGTAGCTGCAGGTCAGAGTCAGTCACGTCCTGCTCCGCTGGGAACAACATGCTGGGAAGTGGGATCAGTTGTTTTGGCAGGTGGTGATACACAAGGTGAGGCTGCTTCAGGAAGGTGTCATTTTTATTTGAGGGTCTGAAAATGGGAGAAACGTAGCTCTGTAATGATGCAAATTATGACGCATGATATTTTGCTACAATAAACAATAATACTGAAACTACTTTATCCAACTGACACAATGAAAAATAAAGCAGGATAATCCCAGTGAACATTTTTTAAATACAGTATCATTAAAATGCATGAGCTGCAACAAACGAACAGCTGAATAAACAGATAATTATTCCTGGAAGGTACTTTTTCATCCTCGTACAGCTCAAATCTTACCGTATTAAATAAAAAATAGTAGAAACTTCTCCACTCCTGCAACAAAAACATGCACTCGATAAATATTGAGCCCCAAAACATATTGTTCCAGGTGTCATATATTAAAAAGTTTATATTAAATAGTCATTTTCATGACAAGAGAAAAGTGCATTGCATTCATTTGTGCAGATAGAAAAACACTTGAATTATCATTAGCTTAGGACGGAGGTGTCCAAACTTTTTTCATCAAGGGCCACATATTTAAACACAGACGAAGCAGAGGGCTGATCGACGGCTGCAGACTGGAGCTCAGTACAGTGAATAATTGAAATATGTGCATGTTTAACACGTTAGAATGAGTCATCAGTCTTTATTCATGATAAGATCCTCAAAACCGCACACTAAATATTAAATATTCGCTTTATCAAGGTAGATTTTCAAAAAACTTGCAGTAAAAAGTTCATCTTTAATTGATGTAAGGTAATTTGGGCCAATTCACCTGGAAGCCTGAGGGCCAAGAAAAATTTGTTCGAGGGCCGCATTTGGCCCACGGGCCATAGTTTGGACAAGTCTGGCTTAGAGTGACCAGAATTCTAAATCAAAAACATGAACACCCCCGGTTTGAGGTAGTTGGTAATAATAAAAACATGAAACGAGGACTTCATGACATGCACTTGGCCCGTTCATGACACGTGAGTCATCATAGTCACATTTCTTTTGTGTTCTAGTCATTTTTAAGCGGCTTTTTTGTACTTTACCTAAACAAATGCCAATGTATGCCTCTCTTTACTGTTAGCAGGTATTGAATTAGTCAGTGGAACATGTTGAGCTGATCACATGTTCAAATTATGGCACATTTTCATGCCTGGTGCAACAGTGGCTCCTCTCAAACCAAACCTGCGCCCATAAGTCTGGATTGATGAGTGTCTGATGAGTGAAGAGAGAGTGAAGCTCTGGAGCGAATGAAATGAATGATGCTTTTGATAAGAATGATGTTTTTAAGATGCTGAGAGAACTAGAAATGAATGATGATACAGAGTTGTTATGATGCTCTGGACATTATAAAGACATTTCTCTTTGTATGTTTGATTTTATGAATTATAACATCAACCTGCCTGGGGACGACAGGTTGAAATTATCACTGGCGCTACAACCTGGTACAAAGCATCTCTCCTGTTAAGGTTAATGTAGATTGTGCACAGTCGCTGTCTCATTAAATAACTAAACTAAACTAAACTAAACTAAACTGGTCAAAAATAGGGACACTAGGGACATTTATGATATAAAACTGGGACAAATCATTGGTTTTGTATAAATCTGCTGGGACAGGGGACACAGGGCTCAAAACTGGGACTGTCCTGGGTAAATAGGGACGTCTGGTCACCCTACGTCAGCTACTTGTATCAGAACATTATAGTTATGATAGTACACAATATATTTTAGGACACGACCAAAATATTTTCTGTAAAACTTGATTATGTGCTTGATTTAAACCATTTAGTCTTGACTGATCACTTCAATTTTTACTTTGATAATATATTTATTGATATTTTGTTAACCTTTGCAATGTATTTCTATGTATTAACCAACTAATGTAAGATAAGATATAACAGTAACATTGCTTTTTAATAATTATTTGACATTATTTTAGACTACCCAACTTAACTATATTGACCAGGCGTCCCTATTTACCCGGGACAGTCCCAGTTTTGAGCCCTGTGTCCCCTGTCCCAGCAGATTTATCCAAAACCAGTGATTTATCCCAGTTTTATACAAGAAATGAATTTCATCTAAACCAGGACTAAACTAAGATTAAACCAGGACTACATCAAGTCTAAAACAGGACTAAAACAGGACTATCACAATTTTTGACTAATCTGATCCCTGTCAACAGTAAAAGGAGCATAAATTGTCAATTGTTTGGCCAAAATACAGAAATCCGTAAAGTAACATAATACAGGTTCACGTTCCGATATGTTTTTACGATGTTAAAGCAAATGCTAAACTTTAAATAATAGTTATCCTAATTAAAAACAACTTGTCCGCTAGATACCCAACAGCATCTATTTATAAGAACACCTAAAGAAGATTAAAGTGGTTAAACTTACGATTTTAAGAGCTTGTTACTTGTTCGGTGGGTTTAAGCGTCGTAAAAGTCACGCTAAAGTTGCTAGTAGCTTTTGCGTTGTAGCCGTAACCATGGCAACGGAGTCAAGAAATTTTCTGATTGGCTGCTCGACCGCGTAGCAACTGATGACGCTGCGAACGCTCTAAAAAAATGTTTGTAAAAATGTAATTTGTAATAAATATATATAATAATATTTGTGTGTGAATTATACGGAATTTATTTATTTGTGTTTTATTTATTATTATTTAACTTTTATTTTATTTTTTTATTTTTTATTTTTTTTTTATAACAAAAACAACTCAAAATGTACGGTAGACGGTCTTGTGAAAGGGTTGGATGCTATAAAAAAAAAAAAAAAAAAAAAAACAGCAGCAGCACAAAAAATACTACGAAACTTTACTTATAATTAAACGTGACGTGCATTTTAGCTACTTACCCCCTGCGTGCCGTTTCTTTCACAGACTAAACACGCGCAACCAAACAAATTTAACCTGCAGTAAGTTACACTAATTATAATCATACATTAATAGCCTAGAGAAATTATTATAAGTCTCACGAGGCCAACATGAAACAAAGAAAGTCCGCATTGCTATGAGTGTACATATGCATGATTAATAATACAGCGTGATGTCAAGTCGCGCCTTCTTGTTTAATTCATGTCTAACAACTTTGATCATGTGACGGGGGGGGGGGCATGCATTAGGTTAGGTAAGCACTATATTCTGTACATTGATGCAGCCAGGCCACGTTGCACACACTTCCCATAGTTGTTTTCCATAGAGTGACTGTTATGTGATGCATTGTGTAACAGCAGCGTGCCAACATATTTGTGCATATTGAAGACAAAGTGTTAAATCCTCTCTCTCTCTATGTCTCTCTCTCGCAGTGATCTGGCACCACCCATCCATTTCCTAATGAGACAGTGGAATAATTCAGTGCATTAGGACTAGGACTGCAGTGGAGCTCATGAGGCTCATATGGGCAAGTCCGGTTTTAGTCCGGTTCTTGGCTCCGACTGCGCGTGCTGATGCATCTTTGTCCACTGTTCTTTTACCAGCGGACACTCTCCCAAACACATCTCCGCCTCAACTACAGTCTCCGAGCAGCAACTGTCACACTACTCTCACAAATGTAAAGCGTCCCAAAGCAACACAAAACTGCATCCGGTTAGGCTTTTAAGCGTAAAATGTCCAAGAAAAAAATATTAATAACACTGAGGGACCTATCAATGCAAAACCACGGAACTACTTTCTAAATATATTTGATTTAGATGTTGAATTTTATCAAGGAAATGTTTTGCCATGGCTTAACTTTGAAATACAGGCTTAATTAAGTGAAAATGTTGTTTTTCTTTATCATAACAAGTAGCCCAAGTAAGTAGTTTGGCTCATTGTGTAAGATTTGCAATTAGATTTGGACATCGAGCTTAATTGGTGGCAAAAAAAAAAATCAAAATTTAGTTGTACGAAAGTGCATTTACACAATTTACTTCAGTGATTAAAAAAGACAGACATATTTGCGTTTTATTTTCTTATTTTCATCCCAATTGAACCAAGTCCTTATTATCTACGATCTACAATATCATTGCAAAATTTTACATTAAAAAAGTGTCTCCAGATTTCCTGACTAGACTCTAGTTTTGTCAAGACCTGCATAATTAAATGTCACAACTCTCAGACAACACAGTCTTGCGTCGTAATTGAAATATTGACTAAGAAAAGAACAAAACACACGACATAATTTGGCATAAAATGAGGGTAGTTCCATAATTATGCATGCAGAAAGCTGTATTTAACATTACTTAAAAAAAAAAAAATAAAAAAATAGGCTACTCCTGTGTAGTCATCGCAAATGGGCTTTTATTCTGAAGTTGAGTTTCCGGTTTGGCCTCTGCGCGTCTTTTTCAGCTCGACGCGGCTTTACTCCGAGCACATCCAAACATAAGTCTCGCGGTTGGGCTGTCAGGCTACGGAAGACAGCTGAACACTCTCTCTCTCTGCTCCAAGATTAGCCTAAACTCAGCCAACAACCACCATTCACTTCAGATTATCCCAAAGTTACACGATTTGCCCTCGCGCTGTGCAGACTTCCAAGTGTCATTGCTTTGCTTTTGCGCTTCAGCTGCGAACAGAGGCGGCGTAGCGGACCGAAATGCACGCGTATTACTATGACAGTTTTGAGAAGAGGGAGCCCGAAGAAGCAGCGCTGTAGTTTCTTTGCAAAAGGCGAGGAATGAAATCTGAGCATCGATGTTTCACTGGGGCAAGTGGAAGAAGAGGATGGGCGCCAACAGTTCTTCAAAGAGACCAGTTTTCGACGAGAAAGAAGATGGTAAGTGCGATTATGTGAGAGAAGTGGAGACGTGTGTGCACAAATCTAACGGGAAACAGCGCTTTGAGCGGAGTTGGAACCACCAGGAGTTGAGATTTAGCCTGGGAAAAAAAGGCACAGGCGATAAGAGCAAGCCTAGAAGTTGTTACATTACAGTTTGTTGCAGGGAAATTCGCAAAAGATTGAACTTTGAAGTGATCCAGAAGATTGTCAATGCACGCGTTTTGTGTTGTTCATCCAGATTGGTGATGGAGCTCAGATGGAAATAGCCTAAAGCCTAAAGAAGATATTATTTTGAAGTGAAATCATCTTAAATTAGGCTGGTTGTGTTCATACTTTTGTGGAAATTGTGTAGATTAAAATAGGTCTCACTTTTAATTATTATTATTATGTGTTAGAGTGGGTTCAGCTGAATGGAGTGGCCAAGATTTGACTGTTTTATAAATGCATTTTAGGTTCAATTATTTCCCAAAACGATCATGTTTACAGTAAAATAGGTGTCACTTTTAATTATTATTATGTGTATGTAGAAAGAAATTTATTTTAGTAACTGAATAGAGTGGACAGGATTTGTTTTATAAATGCATTTTAGGTTTATTATTTCCCAAAGCTGTCATGTTTACATTAAAATAGGTGTCACTTTTGATTATTGTTATGTGTTAGCGTCTATTCACAGAAAGCGTGGAAAGAAATTTATTTTAGTAGCTGAATGGAGTGGCCAAGATTTGACTGTTTTAGGCATTTTAAGTTAAATTATTTCCCAAAACGATCATGTTTACAGTAAAATAGGTGTCATTTTAATTATTATTATGTGTATGTAGAAAGAAATTTATCTTAGTAACTGAATAGAGTGGCCAAGATTTGTTTTATAAATGCATTTTAGGTTAAATTATTTCCCAAAGCTGTCATGTTTACAGTAAAATAGGTGTCACTTTTGATTATTGTTATGTGTTAGCGTCTGTTCACAGAAAGCGTGGAATGAAATTTATTTATTTTAGTAGCTGAATGGAGTGGCCAAGATTTGACTGTTTTATAAATTCATTTTAGGTTAAATTATTTCCCAAAGCTGTCATGTTTACATTAAAACAGGTGTCACTTTTAATTATTATTATGTGTTTGAGTGGGTTCACAGAAAGCGTGGAAAGAAATTTATTTTAGTAGCTGTATATAGTGGCCAAGATTTGATTGCATTTTTTAAAATAAATGCATTTTAGGTTAAATTATTTCCCAAAGCTATGATGTTTACACTAAAATAGGTCTCACTTTTAATTATTATTATGTGTTTGAGTGGGTTCACAGAAAGCGTGGAAAGAAATTTCTTTTAGTAACTGAATGGCGTGGCCAAGATTTGACTGTTTTATTCATTTTTGGTTAAATTATTTCCCAAAACGATCATGTTTACAGTAAAAGTTTACAGTAAAACAGGTGTCACTTTTAATTATTATTATGTGTTAGAGTGGATTCACAGAAAGCGTGGAAAGAAATAGATTTTAGTAGCTGAATTTTTTTTAATAAATGCATTTTAGGTTAAATTATTTCCCAAAGCTATAATTTTCCAGTACAATAGGTGTTACTTTTAATTATTATTATGTGTTTGAGTGGGTTTACAGAGAAATTTAGTTTAATAGCTGTATACTGTGGCCAAGATTTGACTGTTTTATGCGTTTTAGGTTAAATTATTCCCCAAAGCTATCATGTTTACACTAAAATAGGTCTCACTTTTAATTATTATTACGTGTTTGAGTGGGTTCACGGAAAGCGTGGAATGAAATTTATTTTAGTTGCTGAATGGAGTGGCCAGGATTTGACTGTTTTAGGCATTTTAAGTTCAATTATTTTCCAAAGCTATCATGTTTACAGTGGAAAACACATTTTTCACTTTTTTTTAAGCCTATATCTTGGCATACAATGTTGGCGTGGGTGTTTTAATCAAATACTTTTCTAGACTTGATTTCATTTGTTCTACTCCTGAAGCCTAATCAAAGTGTCGTCTGTAGTTGCTGTCACTTGCAGTACAAATTCTCCGTTAAATCATATTCATGCAAGGTTTTGTGGTAATTTATTCTATGTTAAAGTTGCGCGTTAGTTGGTGTTTTGTGCCTTTGTGCAAAATGTTTCTTGGCTTAATTCCTGAAAAGCGGTTGAATGCATGATATTTCTTCAAGTGACCAGCAGCAGTGAGAAATGTATTTGCGCTTGTACATCCCCCGTAGGCATAAATGTGAAGGCTTGTCTGTCAGGCTTTAGAGTTCTGTGTGCTCGAGCTTCCACTGACCCTGAGCAACGCTGACAAAGTAAAACCACCGCACATAAAGTTCTCATGCTGCGCCTCGGACAGCGGGCATGATAACGTGGGAAGAAATAGCAGTGCGAGCGAACGATGTATAGCTGCATACCACACACATAAATACAGTCTATGTAACTTTTCTGATGGGGGATTTGATATCTGCTTGTCTCCATGGATACGTTATGCTTCAACACGGCATAACATTAAACTTATCTATCTTGGTTTATTTTCGTTTTATTTTCGTGATTAAAATACCTTGAAAAACGTGCAAATCTGACCCACAACTAGGGCTGGGTATCACTAAGAAGTTGCCGATACGATACATACCTTCGATACATAGGCCACGATACGATACGTACTTCGATACATAGGCCGAGATACGATAAGTACTTCGATACATAGGCCACGATACGATAAATACTTCGATACATAGGCCATGATACGATACATACTTTGATTTATAGGCCACGATATGATACATACTTCGATACATAGGCCACGATACGATAAATACTTCGATACATAGGCCACGATACGATACGTACCTCGATAGATAGGCCATGATACGATACGTACTTCGATACATAAGCCACGATACGATACGTACCTCGATAGATAGGCCATGATACGATACATAGGCCAAGATACGATACGTACTTCGATACATAGGCCACGATACGATAAATACTTCGATACATAGGCCAAGATACGATACATACTTCGATACATAGGCCACGATACGATAAATACTTCGATACATAGGCCACAGATACGATACATACTTCGATACATAGGCCACGATACGATACGGTTTTTGATATAGTGCACTTTTGATTCGATATATTTCAAATTGATTCGATGCGATTCAGTGGAAAAAAAAGTCTAAATTTCTTCATGTAGTCTGCACTGAAATGGAGCAAAGGATCATGGTCTATGTAGTTCCCTTTGTCTTTTTTTTTTTAGCTATTGTTGCACCAAAAGAGACTTGTAATTCGATATATTGTGATGGTCCACAATATTATTATGAGAACTTTGACGATACGATATCATGATATTTCGGTTATTGTTACAACCCTAATGCCTACCCTTTATTCCTTTATCAGAGCGTCATCTTGACACTAGTTCATCTTCATAAATACAGCGAGAGGAAACAAACAAATCAGAAACAGTACAACAAAGTCCTACAGCACAAACTCAGTCTCATAATTCATGTATTTGCCCAGAGTTAAACATTTAAACGTCTTTAGAAATGGCAAGAGAGTAGTGCACAATTTTAGGTTGTCTGTACATTTGCTCCAAAGCTTCACCCCTTTAACAGATCTACAACATTTCATCATATTTCTTCTGATTCAGGTCTGATCATGGCTGTGATGCTAAAGGTTCACTAAGTCCACTAAGTTTGTGCAAAGTTAATATGAAAAACACCCATTTTACTCATCAAAACGATGAAAAAACCCCACAAAAAAACTCTTGGTGATATATCAATACAGCCGCCCACGATATCGATACTATATCATCACATTAAATGATACGATTAAGGGTATAACAATATCCAAGTCTCACGATACCTCATGGTACGATATTTATTGTGATATTGCGGGGAGGCTCACGATTAGGGATGTAACAATATCCAAATCTCTTGGTTTTCATGATATACATCTCATGGTACGATATTAATTGTGATATTTTGTAGAGGCTAACAAAACTGTGAATATGCGACTTTTTACTCTTAAAATACCTTGACAAAACTTAATCCAAACAACTAAGACTTAAAAGTGCTTAGAACTGTTATTTCTTCTTGTAGTCTGCACTGAAATAGAGCATGATGTAGTTCCCTCTGTCTTTTTTGAGCTATTACTGCACCATAACTCTTAGTTTAAGTAAAGAGACTTGTAATTCGATATATTGTGATGGTCCACGATATTATTGTGAGAACTTTGACGATACAATATCACGATATTTAGGTTATTGTTACACCCCGAGATAAAATATATCGATATTTCAATATTTTTGCACACCCCTACGCACAACTTTCCTTGCTTATGTTCTTCTTTTATGCCACTGGGAAACATTACAGGTAAAGCAATACCATCTCCATAGAGACAAGCAGGTGATGGACCCCATACCTGAAAAGTTACGTCGTACACCTTTAAACAAGTTTGATAATTATAGTTTAGTTAAAATCCCAATTACTTCATCATGTATATTCTCACAATTGATTTCAATATTAGTAAAAGATAAGGATGTTGTCGGTTCATTCACCTGTGAAATATTATTACAACACACTGTGCTGCATTTGCTCTTGTTGCATTAGTGAATATATTTTGATAGACAGCTCTAAAAGCGTTCCAATTATGCAGATCAGATGCAATGCTAATCTGCCAATTCCTTTGCATATGTTGTATTGTAAACATCTTATTCAATGTATTTTGTCTTCATGACTCTAACAAATCTGCTTACAATCATCCTTGGCTATTATTCACTATGTAAACATCACCAGCTGCAAAATCTTTGACTAATCTGAGTGGGAAGTTTTGGTCATTTATTCTTACTGCAAAAAAATGTTGTACAAACTTGTAACTATGGCCTATTTTTGCACGGCTTCGAGTTTCAGGCGATTCTTATGTCATATTTTTCAAAAGCTGCTCTGAGTCACTGCTTTGAAAGGCTTGCATTGCACATCACTGTACAGACTGATTACTCTGCACTTTCA